TGACAACCCTACCCTTTGCAGTACCTTTCTAAGCGTCTTCCCTCGGCTTTTCTAGGACGTATTCCTAGAGTGGGTTTTGTGTGTATTTTACAATGAGGCTCATCGCTGTGGTCACCATTGTAGAACTGGTGGGCCACACTTTGTTGAGGCCGCTGGTTCCCTGTCTGTGTTCCCAGAAAGCCTGTGACTACAAAAGGCGCTCCACGTCGAGGACGAGAGGCCTGGTTTGGGATGAAGATTGTGTTTATGCTTCTGACTTCCTAGAGACACAACAGCTTCCACAGGAAGAGAAACAGGAGCTGATTGGAGCAGATACCTCTTAGTGGACACATCTCCTGCAGAGAGATAGGATAAAGTAGAAAGTGACGGATTCCAGAGGAATTTCAAGTTTATGGCTTTTGTGAGGATTCTGGGTCCCCAGCTCTTCATTCCAGGTTCTTGCCGCCATGTGAGATAAGAATTCAAGGCAGCGCAAGGATGGGAACAGGATTTATTTAAGGAAGAAGAGAAAGAGTACACATTCAGATGTGAATGCCAGCAGCCCCTTGAGGAGAGGTGTGTGCGAGGAGAAATATCTGTGAGGAGAGGAATGTGCCTCTGCCTACTTTAGTTGTCCCCTTTACTGGGTAAGAGGTAGTGCCCTAATTGAATATGTAGAAATGGGAGTGGAGTTTGGGCGGGGTTCAGTAATTGTGATGTTCTCAGAAAAGGTTTTCATAGTGTTGCCACATGGAGTTCGCCTGTGTTTGTTATGCCATCTTTTCGTGGAGGAGGCACAGATGCATCATGGGAAAGTGGGTGTGTTGAACTGCCATGTAAGGGGGTGGAGTGAGGGGTACAAGGGCTATAAGACAGAAACTGCCCGAAACCACTCAGCTCCTTTGTTCACTGACTCCCTGCCTAGCCCACATCAGTACCATTCATTACTGGCCAGAGTCTGGTAGTTGACTTGCACACCTTCAGAGATCACTAACAGGGTTTGAGGGAAGAGTTAAGACTCTCTGGAGCATAAACTGTATAACCCCAAACCAAAAGATTCGGGGCTTCTTTGTTTCCATGGCATGTGGTGATCATTCGCTCTGACCCTACCTGTTCACCTAGTCCACCCTCAGCGAACACCTCTGGGCTGGGGTTCTGGTGCTCAGGAGGAAACAGGGCCACTTGTCTCAGCCTGGCTTTGGGCAATGAATGTGCCATTCAGCAGTGGAGACCAAAGCCTAGTCTTCTCAGCCGCCCTCCCCCGGGGGGAGAACTGGGCAAGTACGATGAGCCCCAGTGTTCTCAGTGGCATGGTGCCTGAGGTGCCGCTTGTGTCCCCCAGGTGGTGACTGCGGAGGAAGATGGGCCCCTCCTGAGGCAGCACTTGCCAGGAAGTTCCTCAACACCGTGTGGCTGGGGCAGTGTGAGAAAGCCTTATGCCCTCTCTCCTGGTAGGATAGGCCTGTGCCACTATGGAGAAGAGTTCCATTTCACCAAAGTAGGGTGGAGGGAGGGTGGTGGCCTCGGTCAAGTACCACAGACCTGCTGTTTTCACAGGTTGTCTTGAATGAACACTATTTAGTACGCTCTATATGCTTGGGACCATCTTCAGACACATTAAGTATTTGCTTGCATATTTGAATTTTCATCAGTTTTGCTGGGGAGCAAGCCTGTCATTCTAGAAGCCTCTGCTCTTTTTTGCTTTAAACTTTTTATTTTAACAATTTAGATTTCCTTAAATGTGACAAAGATAGTGTGAAGGGTTCTTATAGAACCTGCACCCTTCTTCATATCATGTTAATATAACATCTTACAAGTGTATGGCACATTTTCAAAGCCAATAAATGCTGAAGAAAATAAAAGAGAAAAGAAGGAAATTAATATTGGTTTACATATAACAGTCTTACCTAAACTACAGACTGTATTTGCATCTCACCATTTCTTCCTCACTAATGTCTTCTGTTGCAGAAGAGAATTCAGGACAGCACATTGTGTTTAATCATCCTATATCTTAATCTCCCATTTCTCACAGTTGCTCTGTCATTGTTTTTCATGACCCAGACATTTTTTCTTTTGAGATTTGTTTATTTATATGAAAGGCAGTTACACAGAGAGGGGGAAACAGCGCCCTCTTCTATTTGTAGGTTCAGTTTCCAAATGGCTGCAAGGGCCTGGGCTGGGCCAAGTCAAAGCCAGGAGCCAGGAAATCCGTCCAGGTCTCCCATGTGGGTGACAAGGGCCCAAGTACTTGAGCCATCTTTCTTTGCTTTCCCAGATGCATTAGCAAGGCAATGGATCAGGGGCCAGTGCTGTGGCATAGCAGGTAAAGCTGCCGCCTGCAGTGCTGACATCCCATATGGGCGCCAGTTTGAGTCCCCGCTGCTCCACTTCCCATCCAGCTCTCTGCTGTGGCCTGGGAAAGCAGTAGAAGATGGCCCAAGTTCTTGGGCCCCTGCACCCGCGTGGGAGACCCGGAAGAAGCTCTTGGCTCCTAGCTTTGGATCAGCACAGCTCCGGCTGTTGTGGCCAATTGGTAAGTGAACCAACAGATAGAAGACCTCGCTCTCTTCCCTCTCTGTCTCTCCTTCTCTTTGTGTAACTCTTTCAAATAAATAAATATAAAAAAAAAAAAAAAAAACCTTGAGAGCCATTGTGGCCATTTGTGGAGTGAACCAGCAGATGGAAGATCTCTCTTACTCTGCCTTTCAAATAAATAAATATTTTTAAAATGCTTGGCCACTCTGATATCCTTTCCCCAAACACACATATGAGATGCCGGCACTGCAGATGGCTTTACCTGCTACACCACAGCGCTGGCACCTGGCAAGTGTTTTTTATTTATTTGAAAGGCAGAGTTACAGAGTGGGGGAGAGAGGGAGAGAGACTTCCCAAATGGCCACAATGGCTGGAACTGAGTCAGGAGCTTCTTCCAGGAGCCCAAGGACTTGGGTCATCATTAGCAGGGAGTTAGACCAGGGCCTATATGGGATGCCAGAGCTGCAGGCAGCGGCTTTAACCAATATGCTACAGCATCAGCCCTGACTAAAAGTCATTGTATCATCCTAGATGGTCTGTGATGTCTGTGAATTATCACTAATGTTGCTAATCTTGATTTCTTGGTTAGGATGCTGTCTGCCAGCTTTCTCCTCTGTCAGGTTACTATTTTGCTCTTTCGTTGCTTAGTCACTAAGTCCACCCAACTAAAGGGAGAGGGAGTCAAGCTCCCCTGAGTTACCCATGCACACTGTTAAAAGATATCCCCTGAAGCCAGTGGTGTGGCACAATGGGTTAAGACACCATCTGTAACACCAGAATCCCATATGGGCACCAGTTCAAGTCCTGGCTGCTCCACTTCCCATTCAGCTCCCTGCTAATGCATCTGGGAAAGCAGTGGAAGATGGCTCAAGTCCCTGGACCCCTGCACCCACGTGGGTGACCCTGATGGAGGTCCAGGCTCCTGGCTTTGGTCTGGCCCAGCCCTCACTGGTCGCTGTGGCCATCTTGGAGTGGGTGGTGAACAAGCAGATGGCAACCTCTGCACCTTCCATCCCTTTAGACATATTTGAGTATGATTGTGAGGTGCAGAAGTGTTGATGCCATCTTGTGACAAGATCACTAAAGCCAACACATACTCTGAAAATAGTGTAGAAGAGAAAAAGCCAGAGACTCCTTCGTCACATCACATTTTAAGGTATTGAACAAACCCTGGAAATTTTAGGCTTGTATTTCTGTAAGATACACTGCAACAGAAATCCTTGGATTTTAAGTAATTTACCAATTGGGAATCTGAACCTTTCCACTGCGTCTATAAGGACAAACATAAGGAAAGAGACAAATTCTCCCTGTTAAAAGTGAGAGAGGGGGACTGGCATTGTGGCACAGTGGCTAGAACCCTGCCTGCAGTGCTGGCATCCCATATGGGTGTTGGTTCGAGTCCTGGCTGCTCCACTTCCGATCCAGCTCCCTGCCGATGTGCCTGGGAGAGCAGTGGAGGATGGCGCAAGTGCTTGGGCCCCTGCACCTGTAGGAGACCCAGATGAAGCTCCTGACTCCTGGCTTCAGTATGGCCCAGCTCTGGCTGTGGCGGCCATTTGGGGAGTGAACCAGCGGATGTAAGCTCTGCCCTGCAAATAAATAAAAATTTTCTAGCCCTTTGCCAACTTTCAAACTCAAGAATGTCTTTCTAAAGACCTCTTTGACATGCAAACACCAAGGGAAGCAAAACCCCATCTCCCAGCTTCTAACTTGCCTAACTTCCCTGGGCATCTTGGCTACCTACCCCTGAAAACTTGGTATGCTTTTTAAAGATTGATTCCTTTATACATTTGAAAGGCAGAGGGAGAGACTATGAATCTTCATCCACTGGTTCACTCCCCCAAACAGCCCAACAAGCCAGCAGCCCAGAACCCCGTCCGGGCCTCCCGCGTGGGTGGCAGGGCCCCAAGCGCAGGAGTCGCCATCCACGCATCCTCAGACACGTGGAAGGAAGCTGGCTCGGACACAGCAGCCGGGACTCCAACCTGCACTGTTACGGGTGCCGGCATCTCAAAACCCCGACCGCAACGCAGGACCCCGCTTGGTTTTTGTTACGGAAAGTGAAGTCAGCTAGTTCAGAAAAGTAACCCAACTAACGAGTGGGTTCAGGGAAGCTTTGTGCACCAACGGGAACTCCACTTTCCCCTACTTGCGGACTAACGACGGTTTACACTGGTTTAGCGTTCCCCGTGTTCACGCGCCCGCCGCCGCACGCGGGCGTTAGCCTCCCTTCCGCCGCCTGCCTCGCCCACGCTTCCGTGGGCGGCCCCCGTGGGCGGGTGCCGGGCGACCCGCGCCCGCCCATTGGTGTAGTGCCTTCGCGCCCGAGCGGAAGCTCGTGTTTCTCTCCTTTCTATTGGGCAAGCGGCCGCGCGGCCTCGAAAATCTTAACCAATGGGAATCGGGAAGTGCCCGCCCCGTAGCAGGCGCGCAGTACGAAAGGTCTCCACGGCTCGCCCAGGGCATGCCCGAGGGGCTTGGTGTGGGCGCGGCGGCTGTGGGCGGGACGGGCTCGGCCGGGAGCGAGTAGCTCCGCGGGACCCGCAGGCTCGCGTGGGCTCGGCACCAGCGAAGGGGCTCGGGCGGTAGCATCGCCCGCGGGAGTCCCCGAAGGCCGTTATGCAGTCGGGCAGTTCTCAGGCCGCAGGTGGGACGGACGGAAACCCAGGCGGCCGAGGGGAAGGGGCTCGGGCTGCTGGCGTTGGGGGCGGGGTGCACCGAGGAAGGCGCTCACTTCGTTCTCTCTGCCTTTGCTTTTCCCTCCGCCGCGGCCGCAGGCCCCGCGCAGCCGAGCGTCCCCCTGTGAGTGACTGCCTGAGGGAGGGGGGCGGGACCTGGGTGTCCGGGTCGGAGCGCCCAGCTCGCCGCCGTGCGAGGGCGCGGGGCGGAGGGAGGGGCGGGAGGGAGCCCCGGGGCCTGTCCCCAGCCGAGCCTCTCTTCCTGTGCCAGGAGGCGCCTCACGATTGAGGACTTCGAGATTGGGCGTCCGCTTGGCAAGGGGAAATTCGGGAATGTGTACCTGGCTCGGCTCAAGGACAGCCATTTCATCGTGGCCCTGAAGGTCCTCTTCAAGTCCCAGATAGAAAAGGAAGGCATGGAGCACCAGCTGCGCAGGGAAATCGAAATCCAGGCGCACCTCCAGTGAGGGCTGCCCGCGGGAGACCCCCGCTCCCCCGCTCCCCGCCTCCGCTGCCTGCTGCGGTGTCTGCACCCTGCACTGCCCCAGATAAGCTCCTTGGCTCACCTTCCAGGTGTTCTCTGCAGCTCGTCCCACTTAGAGCATGCAAAGCTTCCTCCTTGCCAGGCAGCCCAGTCGAGATGTGGGTGCCTGGCTCTTCCCTTACACGCTCCCAGGTCCGGCTGTTTATCCACCGCTCGCCTAACTTCCGGAAACGGGACGTGTGAGGCCTCAGGGAGAAGTCTGACCCTTCCTCTGTCCCGTTTTCAGACACCCAAACATCCTGCGCCTGTACAACTACTTCCACGATGCTCGTCGGATATACCTGATTCTGGAATATGCTCCACGGGGTGAGCTCTACAAAGAGCTGCAGAAATGCCACACGTTAGATGAGCAGCGGACAGCCACGGTGAGGTGGGAGCGTGGAGGCTGGGGGCGCTCTGTGCAGATGGTTGATCTGTTCCTTCCAGATGCAGCAGAAAGTCATGCACTGCACAGGGTTTCCCGTGGCTCCTTACACAGTTTATCCTGTGCAAAGTTGATATTTGAACTAAGTACATGAAGAAGAACATCCCATTAGAAAATGGCAACATTTCCGAAAAGTGGGTTTTATGTTTATGTGGTGGGAAATCAACTTCCCATCTACCACCTAAAAATACTCCTTGAGTCTAAGCTAAGACAGTTACAATCACAATTAATGTAGTGCCCATAGATGGCATCTATCCTACATTTCCTATTTGGATACTCTAATTATCTCCAGTGTATATCCAGGATACTAATAAGTACTATGTATGAGTTTAGATTCTTTGTAAACAACAAAATCTATCTTTACAGTGTCATGCGAAGAAACATAATGAATGTCTATGAGGAAATTCTCTGTACAAAGGAGTAGAACTAGATTAGAATTGGTAGAGGAGCTTTCTAGAGGGCTCCAGAAAAGGAACATAGCCGTGGTCATCTCAGTGGTAGTGGTTGGGTCAGCTTGTTTGGAATCACCCTTCTTCTGGAGTCTGTATTATTCCCTCAGGACTCAGGTCCTTTGTGACATCATCCAGTTGGCTCAGCATAGGTCCTTCCCCGACAGTAACTATGGTGCTGTTAAAAGGAGATAATGGGGACCAAAAAGAAGCATTGGCATTGGTATCCAAGAATTAAAAGATTCTACTACGCTCGCATTCATGATGAATACTACCATAAAGGGGAATTGTGGCCAGCTTCCCTTCCGGGGTGCTTTTTCTTCGTTCACACAGATAATGGAGGAGTTGGCAGATGCGCTGACCTACTGCCATGGCAAGAAGGTGATTCACAGGGACATTAAGCCAGAGAATCTGCTGCTGGGGTTCAGGGGTGAGGTGAAGATTGCCGACTTTGGCTGGTCTGTGCACACCCTCTCTCTCAGGTGGGTCACGTGGTGGTAGGGACCACTTGGAAATGATCCATTTGAATTTATTCCACTTTGCAAAACCTATATACAAACCTAGATATGTATTTGAGTACTTTTTTCCCCGAATACATATGTTTACTATGTATTTGTAGATATAAAGAATGTGGCACATTTATTGCTGATCTTCATTAATATATAACTTGACCAATAAGGTCCCAGATGAAAAAATATTGAAGAGCATTTTCCCCATAATTCCCAGGAGTGTGTTTTTTCTTGATGAATAAATCATAATTTATGTAGTTCTCTTGATGTACCATCATTTTGTTCCAGATCTCTATCTCTTCCCCTCCCCTGCCCCCCTTCGTTCCTTCCTTTGGCAGAGGGGAAGACATAGCAATATCTTCTATCCTCTGGTTCACTCCCAAGTGCCTGAAACAGCAAATACTTGGGTCATCTTTCACTGCTTTCCCAGACACATGTAGGCTAAGCCTCTGCCTACAGTGCTGGCGTCCCATATGGATGCTGATTTGAGTCCCGGCTACTCCTCTTCCAGTCCAGCTCTCTACTTATGGCCTGGGAAAGCAGTGGAAGATGGCTCAAGTCCTTGGGCCTCTGCACCTATGGGGGGACCCAAAAGAAGCCTCTGGCTCCTGGCAATGGCTCAGCTCTGGCCATTGCAGCCATCTGGGGAGTGAACTATCGGATGGAAGACTTCTCTGTGTCCTTCTCTTTGTCTGTAATTCTATGTCTAAATGAATGAATAAAACATTTAACAACTAGGACTCAAACTGGTGCTCCTGTATAGAATACCCACATTGCAAATGGTGGCTTAACCCACTGTGCCACAGTAACAACTGCTAGATCTTTATTTTTTAGATTTTTTAAAAATATTTTATTTATTCAGGTCGGCGCTGCGGCTCACTAGGCTAGTCCTCCGCCTTGCGGCGCCGGCACACCGGGTTCTAGTCCCGGTTGGGGCACCGGATTCTGTCCCGGTTGCCCCTCTTCCAGGCCAGCTCTCTGCTGTGGCCAGGGAGTGCAGTGGAGGCTGGCCCAGGTGCTTGGGCCCTGCACCCCATGGGAGACCAGGAAAAGCACCTGGCTCCTGGCTCCTGCCATCGGATCAGCGTGGTGCGCCAGCTGCAGCGCGCCGGCCACAGCGGCCATTGGAGGGCGAACCAACGGCAAAAGGAAGACCTTTCTCTTTGTCTCTCTCTCTCACTGTCCACTCTGCCTGTCAAAAAAATAAATAAAAAAAATATATTTTATTTATTCATTTGAAAGGTAGAGTTACAGAGAGGGAAAGACAGAGAGAAAGGTATTCTATCTGCTTGTTCACTCCCCTTATGGCTGCAATAGCCAGAGCTGGGCCAATCCGAAACCAGGAGCCAGGAGCTTCTTCGGATCTCCCATGCAGGTGCTGGGGCCCAAGAACTTGGGCCATCTTCCACTGCTTTCCCAGGCCATAGCAGAGAGCTGGATTGGAAGAGGAGCAGCTGGGACACGAACCAGTGCCCATATGGGATGCCCGCGCTGAAGGCGGAGATTTAGCCACTATGCCACCACAGCTCCAGCCTCCAGATCTTTCTTGATACTGAGAATATTCTCATGAAGCCATTCTGTGTCATGGACTAAATAATTTTACAAATAATTGCAAAATATGGAATTAGTGGGTACCAGGCTTTGTCTTCTCCGAATCTTGATCCATATTAAAAGTTAGTGTCTCCTAACCTCCATGCTTGGGAGGTGACTATTCAGGTTGTCCTAGTCTCCCCATCATGCAGGAAGCTCGGGAAGGAGAATTTCTCATCCTGGGACCCTGCACAGAGCTCCAGAAATCTCTGTCGTCCTCTAGGAGAAAGACGATGTGTGGCACTTTGGATTACTTACCCCCAGAAATGATTGAGGGGAGAACGTACGATGAGAAAGTGGACCTGTGGTGCATCGGGGTGCTCTGCTATGAGCTGCTGGTGGGAAATCCACCCTTCGAGAGCGTCTCTCACACTGAGACATACAGACGCATCCTTAAGGTGAGAGGCCCACATACTTGAGGATTCAAGGGGAAGCTGCTTGGTGGGGGGGCTGTAGGATATGGGGCAGACATACAAGGTTGTCTACAAAGGTCCAGACAATACCTTAAATACTCAATGAGCAGGGACAACATTAACCAGAGGAATTAACCAGACTTTTCTTTTTCTTTCCTGACCTTATCAGGTGGATGTGAAGTTTCCTGTAACAATGTCTTTGGGAGCCCGAGACTTGATATCCAGGCTTCTGAGATACCAGCCGTCAGAGCGGCTACCCCTAGCCCAGATCCTGAGGCACCCCTGGGTCCAGGCCCACTCCCGGAGGGTGCTGCCTCCTTGTGCTCATCCAGCTTCCTGAATCCTGTCTGCTTCTGTCTGCATTTGTGCAGGGAACTCTCCTGGCTCTGCTACCTCATCTATTTTTTGTTTGTTTCCTTTTTAAGATGCAAGATATAAATTAATAAAAGCTGAATCGTTTAGTACTAGCTGAGTTGGCGTGTAATACAGTAAAATTTTGAAAAAGATTTATTTATTTGAAAGAGTTACAGTGACTTTCAGAGTGTTTCTGTCCACTGGTTCACTCCCCAAGTGCCTGCACAAGACAGGGCTGGGCCATGCAAGAGCCAGGAACTCCATGTGGGTTTCCCATGTGGTTGCAGGAACCCAAGTATCTGCCATCATCTGCTGCCCTTCCCAGGTGCATTAACAGGAAGTTAGATCCAAAGTGGAGTAACATCCCTGCTGATGGCTTAACCCACTGTGCCACAATGCCTGCTCCTCAGTAGAATCTTTATTTCATGTGGAAACTCCTTGAAAACTAATGCCTACTCACTGCAGATAAACACCCCAGGATTGCATGCCATTAGTGGCTTCTTTGCATAACTTAACGTTTCTCACATTTTCATGAGTATGTCATTTGTAAGACAAGACTTTAAACAATGCAGAGGTCCACTCTGTACTGCCATCAACATGTTGCCACCATTTTGTTTTAAAGATTGATTTATTCAAAAAAAAGATTGATTTATTAGGCAGAGAGAGAGAGTGTCCATCCGCTGGTTCACTTCCCAAATGGCTGCAATGGCCAGAGTTGGGCCAATTTATTATAATGGCAGAGAGAGAGATTGTCCATCCGCTGGCTCACTCCCCAAATGGCTGCAATGGCCAGAGTTGGGCTGATTTATTAGGCAGAGAGAGAGATTGTCCATCCGCTGGTTCACTCCCCAAATGGCTACAATGGCCAGAGTTGGGCCAATCCAAAGCCAAGAGTCAGGAGCTTCTTCCAGGTCTCCCACGCAGGTGCAGGGGTCCAAGGACCCTGCCATCTAATACTGCTATCCCAGGCCACAGCAGAGAGCTGGATCAGAAGTGGAGCAGCTGGGACTCGGTGCCCACATGGAATGCCAGCACTGCAAGTGGCAGCTTTACCCACTATACCACAGCACTGGCCCCTGTTGTCTTTTAAGATTCACTTGAAACGGCTGTAGAGAAGGGGGAAGAGGCAGAGAAGAGATCCATCTGCTGGTTTCATTCCTCAGATGACCACAATGGCTAGGGCTGAGCCAGGCTGAAGCCAAGAGCCAGGAGCTTCATCCAGATCTGCCATGTTAGGGCCACCTTCGACTGCTTTTCCCAGGTCATTAGCAGGGAAAAGCACTGGAAGATGGATTGGAAGTGGAGCAGCTGGGACTCTAATTGACATCCCTATGGGAATATGGTGCTGGCCCCATGCTGCCACCTTTGAAACAATGTATTTTACTGCATATCAGTGCTGGCTTTTTCTTTATTTGAAAAGTTATAGAGGAAGAGACAGAGAAAGAGGTATCTTTACTGGTTCACTCCCCAAGTGGCTGAAACAGCCAGACTGAAGCCAGGATCCAGGAGCTTCATCCAGGTCTCACAAGTGCAGGGGTCTATGCACTTAGATGATCTTACATTGCTTTCCCAGCCCATTATCAGGGAGCTGGATCACCAGTGGAGCAGCCAGGACTGGTGACACAGGGAATATAAATGAACATTCTGACTCTAATGCGTGTTCTACATCCCATCCCAAAGTCATTTAAGAGTCATCCACATATGAAAAGGAGAATCACGGCTCTTTTATAATTGGGGTTTATTACTAGTGCCAGTGATTAGTAACAGTGTTCCCTGCATGGTAATTCACACACATTTCTCCATTTTCTTTTTATAAATAGTTTCTCCTAGGACATGAATTCCACTTCCACTCCTTTATTCAACTCAATGCTTTTCCACTTTAAAAATTAAATCTGTTGATATTTCCTGTCCTGTTTTCATTGTCATAACCATATATGTCCTTTACTTGGCACAAGGAAATGGGGCTTGGGGCTGGTGCTGTGGCATAGCGGGGAAAGCCACTGTGTGTGGTGCTAGCATCCCTTATGGGTGTCAGTTCGAGTCCTGGTTGTTCTACTTCCAATCCATCTCCCTTCTAATGCACCTGGGAAATCAGCAGAAGATGGCCCAAGTGCTTGAGCCCCTGCTACCCATGTGGGAGACCCCAAAGAAGCTCCTGGTTTCAGTCTCTGCCATTGTGTATTTGGTGAGCAAACTAGAGAATGGAAGAGTCAGTCTCTCTCTCTCAACTTTGCCTTTCAAAATAAATAAATCTTAGAAAAGAAGGCTTTCTTTTGAGCAGTTCCCACTATGGTTGATTATTACGTGACATTGCAAGTGAACAGGTCCCTGGTGTCCATGACCTCATCCTGCTGGGAAATGTTTTATAATTTCATTTGTAATTGCAATGATGTCTGTACAAGGAGTTGAAATTATCCGTTGAAAACACTGTTGAGGGGCCAGCGCTTTGGCTTAGCTGGTAAAGCCAGTGCCACCATCCCACATAGGTGCCGGTTCGCATCTTGGCTGCTCCACTTCCGATCCAATTCTGCTATGTCCTGGGAAAGTAGAAGATGGCCCAAGTCTCGGCGTGGGAGACCTGGAAGAAGTTTCTGGCTTCTGACTGGTGCAGCACTGGCCTTTGTGGCCATTTGGGTAGTGAACCAGCGGATCAAAGACTTTTCTCGATCTCTGTAACTCTACGATTCAAATAATTATAAACTTTTTAAAAATTGCTTTAAGAATTGTTCATTTCTAGAATTTCCACTTAGTAGTTTCAGGTTGGTTGACCGTGGGTAACTGAAACCGTGGACTGCACGACTACAGGTTGGGGGTGGGAGGACAAGTGCCCTCCTCAGACGCCCCTGCACTGTGAGGGTGGAGTGGTCCCAAGACAGGTACGTCCGAGAGAGCGCAGGCTGCGGGCCAGCAGGCTTCTTGCCTTTGGGGGTTACTTGGTCTGTTACCTGTTACCAACTAAGAGAAGATGCAAGTGGAAGTCAGGGGCCCAGTCCAGGTCTGGCTCCTGCCTTTATCCTTGCCCTCACCCCAGAATATTCCTGCCTCTCGCGCCTCTATGTCCCCAGGATAACCTTGTTTCGCGCCTTGGTGCCCCCGAGTTGTGCCCACTGTAGACAGGTCTGAGAAGCAGCCCTGGGTCTGTGGCGTCTTTTACACCAAAAATCCGACTCTAGAACGCCCTCCTTTGTCGGTTGTTAGTACAGAAAAAACTACGTTGCTGAAGAAGGCACAACACCGGGAACCTCCTTGAAGCTCAGGACGGGGCATTTCCTGCGGGCCGAGGGCCCAGGGCGGGACTTCCGGCTCCTTGGAGGTAAACGTCATCTGCCCGCGACGGTGCGGTCCACGCCGGCTTTGCGGAGGGCGGTGGTGTTCCTTGGTCCTCACCTGGCAGCACTTCGTAAAGCAGCAGGAGGGCGTCTAAGACTGACTTCCGTGGGTTGCAAAGAGCCGCGAGCCTCCCTGTTCGGACGGAGTGTGACAGTCAGCCGGGGTCTGGGGTCAGCTGGGTCCTCAGGATCCCGGGATGGCGGCGGCGTTCATGGACCCGGCGCAGGTGAGCGGATGGTTTTTTGCATTGTGGCTTCTCTGTTAGTTCAGAGAGGCCTCGTGGGCAGTCTGAAGGCAAGAAAACCGCGGGGTAGCTCAGCGCAGGTGTGACTATTGATGTAAAGTGGAGCTGGCTGGTCGCACTGCTTAATTCCAGTCAATACCTGGGAAGATAAAGATACAAATGGACAGTAGCCGGGCCATACATAAAAGTCGGCCTTTTAGCTACACCCTGCAGCAGCTGCTCCTCTTTTCTACAGCCAGCAACTCTGGAAGGCAGCCGGTTCCTCGTCAGTCAGACTGGCGGGAGGGCGGATTGTGGCGGGGTAGGGTCTCCTGCTTCTCCCTCCACGTGAGATGCGAATTCAAAGCAGAGACAGATACAGTGCAAGGATGGGAACAGGGTTTGTTTAAAAACTTGAGTCCACATTCAGAGGTGGTGTGTTAGGAAACTGGCACAATCTTATCTGTGGCGCGATCTACACCTGATTTGTGTTCTATACCCCGGTTCCCGCCGCCATTGCTGGCAGCCAGGTGGCCACATGGCCCAGCTACCTGTGCCAAGCTCCACCCCCACCCTAATGGGATTCGCTGCACCTGCTTCCCTGCCGGACCTCCGGCAAAGTTTAAAAGGGCCTGTTCCTGAACACGTGCTCTCTCTAGCCTCCTCCTCTGCTCTCTCCTCTCTCTTGGCTCTTCTCTGCTCTCCTCTCCTCCTCCCTTCTCTCTCTCTCCTCTCCTCGCTAGCTCCTCTCCCCTGTGACTCTCTCATACTCTCGTTCTCTCTGCTATCTTTCTTCGTCCCTCCCCTCCAGTCTGCTGGGTTTTCCCCAATAAACTCTTTCCCTTACTCCGCTGTTAGGTGTGCTTTGTGACGGCTAACAGAAATATATAACAGTGTGGGCAGGCCCATGAGGAGAATCCACTTGCACCTCAGTTCAGTGGTCCCCTCTGTTAGGTAGGTGATAGAAACGGGGTGGAGTTTGCGCAGGGTTCATGGTGGTCTCTAGGAGGTTTTTCGGGGTCTGCAGGTGGAGCTCAGTGCATATGTATTCATTCATCTTGGTGTCTTTTTCATGATGGGGTACAGGTGCATCATAGGAAGGCGGGTGTGCTGGAGTGGCATAGAAGGGGGTGGAGTTCCGGGCGCAGGGCTGTGAGACAGAGTGTGCTGGAAACCTCCCAGCTGGTTTGTTTTCACTGACTCCCTACCTAGCCCATATCAAGATTACTGTCTCTGGTGACAGTCCAGGGAGCTCAAAGATAGTTCATGTAGTAACTGACCCTAAATGCTCTTTACTTACTTAATAAGTGTTTCCTCGTTTTTGCCCGTTTCTGCTGTAAGACCAGCCAGAGAAAGGTAGACATGTACTCCCTAACCGATCGTCCAGGATGCCCCTCTTCCCACTGGCTGTTCCACAGCTTCCCAGTGCAAGCCGTGTCAGGCCTCTGGTGCTGCTCTGTGATTGGTCAAAGGATAAATGAGGCTTCTCAGGGGCTTTCAGTGCACCTTATTCGGATTTTGGTCTTGGCTTATGAGCCCTGGCCCACTGACCACAGAAATTTCTCTTCCCATTCTGGCGCTTGGTCTGCAGTTCACTCTGTCTCAGATACTGCCCTCAGGCTGCTCCAGGACTGCACTTCGCATCTTTTTTGGCTTTGCTGAAGTGTCTTTCATGACAGTTCAAGCAGAAATTGCCTCCTCTCTTCTTACCCTGGTTTCTGTTCTCAGGAGGTGAGCCTCTGCGTGAATTTGTGAAGCATTAACCTGCGGTCACTGACTGTAACGTGGAGGTGATTCTCGAAGGTGTTTACCTTAGTAGCTGTGGAAAGATTAATAAAAACTCCAAAGCCTGTGAAGCGCTGGATATGTTCTTTTAAATCTCACAGTTGCTATCGGTGAAGTCAGAAGTACTATATTGACATGGACATTGAAGTTCAGAGATTAAGTCCCTGCTGGCAAATGTCAGTTTGAGGAGGTTGCTTTCAAACATAAGAAATCTGACTTCTCTGAGGAGTTGTAGTTCCTTAGACACTGAGTGTACACATGTGCTGCTATTGTTACTCCAGCATACCTGCCTTCCCATGATGCACCTGTTATTATTAATAACCTGGTACTATTGTTTCCTCATTCCTCTAACTTTCTAGAGCCCTCACTGTTTGCATCTCACAGTCCACAAGTCATGTCCATTGTCTTCTTTCATTATCTAATGACTTCCACATAGGAGCATTTCTCTCTGACACCACTTATGTCCAAAGCAATGTCTGCCATCTGCCTTCAGGCCAGTACAAAGTTAGGCCCTCAGAATGTGCCCAGTGATTCGGATCTTGATCTCCCACGACTTCTTCCAACAAAACACGCGTGTGAGACAGCACTGCTATCTCTATTTGACTTCCCAGGTGTCTGTGACTTTTGAAGATGTGGCTGTGACTTTCACCCAGGAAGAGTGGAGGCAGCTGGAGCCCGCTCAGCATAACTTGTACCGGGAGGTGATGCTGGACGTCTGTGGGCTGCTGGTCTCGCTGGGTAAGGCCGCCCTCTCCACCGTGCAGGAGACCTGCAGCCTCCTTGCCTCTCTGGCACTAGGTGCGGATGGTTAAAGACACCGGAGCCCGCCCTCGCCTTTTCTCATAGCTTCAGTCATTTTCTACCCTCACCTGTTTGTTGCTGGCCTCCCTGTGTCTCTTTGAGCAAGAAACAGTACTCTGGCTTGCAGCCAAAGGACATGGAGGGTGCTTTGCAGAACCCAAGCAGGATTTCTAGTCCGACACGCTGATGGAATGATACAGAAACTGAGAACCATCATGGCTATGTACTAGTGTTTCTCTTGGTCTCATGGCACTCTATACAAAATGGCGTTTTCTGCCTCAGTGAGTTTGTAGCATGAGAGGCCACCAGTGTCCTCGTTCTCCCTGACCCCTGTATTTGTCTCTCTTTGCATGTCTGTGTTGTTTTTCTTAGCAGCTGGCCTCCATGGGTTGTTCTTAGCAGGAGGTGGCACCCAAGCCGTATGTCCCTTTGCGTCTCCAGCAGTCTAGGCATAGGGTAGTCTCTCAGGGATTGTTTTTTGCCTTTCAGTGAGGGATCTGAATGAGTAGGCCTAGTTGGCTCAATGTCCCCTATGGCCCACTTAGCAGGGCCATGGAGAGCAGGAGGTTCTCGAAGAAGAGGGACTCAGGCCAATCCTAGCAGATGTTTGCCGGCAGTATTACCAGACACTCTTGTAAACAGCGCTAGCTCTGTTAAAAGACTTTTCTTTCTTCATATGCCTATATGATTTCCTCTTTCCTAAGCCCTGGACCAAAGTATTCTGTTAGTATGAGAAAGTTTGGACCAGCACTTCTCAACACTTGAGGGTTTTGGCTACCAGGAGACATTTAGTCACTTTTGACTGTCACACATGGAATGACAATCACTAGATGTTGACATCTAGTGGGTAGAGTCCAGAGGTGCTGTTCCGTATCCTACAATACATGGGATATGCCCTGTAACAAAGAATTATCAAGCCCTAGATGTCAAGAATGCTAAAAATACCAGGTTAGTTGGTTCTCTTCTTAAAAGTCTCTAATAACCATCAAGCATTCCGTTTAGAAGAAAGAGGGTTTAAATCCTTTTCATTAGAGGGAGCAGCCTCAGGCTCAGAGCCCTGAGCAGGCAGCGTGAACTTGCTGGGACTGAACGCTATTTTGATTTCATTGCCTGGTTTTCATGGGGACCTGCCATCAAGGCCAGTGACTCTGGGTTTTTCATTTACCAGAGTGATGTAGCCTTCCCTTTGTAGGAAACCTAGGACGAGTAAAAAGAGTCATTTTAAAAGCAATTAAAGGGGCCAGTGCTGTAGCATAGTAGGCTAAGCTGCCGCCTGCGGTGCCAGCACCCCATATGGGCACTGGGTTCTGTTCCAGCTGCTCCCCTTCCAGGCCTCTGTGCTTCGGGTCAGCCCAGCTCCAGCTGTCATGGTTGTCTCTCTGTCCCTCTCTCTGTCTGTAACTCTACCTCTCAAAAAAATAAATAAGTTCCACGCTGTTACTAAAAAAAAAAAAAAAGCATTTAATGATCACAGTTCATGTCCCTAGAGCACTGTTGAGGTATCCAGCTTGTTGCAGGGACTGCTCATGTTCCCTTAACTCTCTCAAAAAATTAATGAAAATATGAACACTGCAGCAAGTCCCTCATCGAATTTAGCTTGCTGCATACTATAGACACATCTTCATTTAATGAGGCTGTCATAGTATATTTTTAGTAGTTTTTTTGTGTGTGAAATATTGATGAAAATATATGCTGTCTGATATTTCTGTAAATGTCTTTATGCAATGTATCATTGGGATCTCCTTTTTAAAAGATTTTTTTTTAATAAAGCTTTTGGGGAGGGCAGGACAGGTATGTGACTTTTTTCCCTTTAATTTTTATTTATTTAATTTATTTGAAAGGAGAGAGCTAGAGTTCTCCCATCTACTGGTTCACTCCCTAAATGCCTGCAATAGCTAGGGCTGGGCAAGGCCAATGCTAGCTGATAAGAACTCAATTTGGGTTGTCCACATGGGTGTCAGGGACCCAACTACTTGAGCCATCACCTGCTGCCTCCCAGGTAGGCATTAGCAGGTGGAATGGGGAGCAGAAGCAGGACTCGAACCCAGGTACTCTGCTATGGAATGTATGCATGCCAAGTGGCGTCTTAATCGCTAGGCCAAACACCTGCCACTTAAAATTGTCAGTGATTCATGAAAGGCTGAGATTCAGTCAAAGTCTGCCCCTGCCCTGCCCCCTGCCCCCTCAGGATGAGTCTGTCTGCTTGTGGAGCTCCCTCACCATCACCCTCTGCAGTCTCTCCTGCTGGCCACACAGGGTGGTGGGGTGTTCTGTTTCCTTCTTAGTGTGATGCTTGGGCAACCACAGTCTGCAGACAGACTCCCAGGTGTTCTTAAAACCTGTGTGGTCCTGGCCAAGTTACTCAGTCTGCCTGTGCCTCAGTGTGTTCTTGGGCATTTAGTTTATGACTCACAGGAAGAGAGCTATAAAACTTCATTTGAGATCTTTAAAAAGATTCAGATCAGGGGCTGGCATTGTGGCACAGTGGGTTAAACCACCGTTTGCAATGCTGACATCCCATATGGGCAGGAGTTTGAGTCCTGGCTGCTCCAATTCCAATCCAGCTCCCTGCTAATGTACTTGGGAAGGCAGTGGAGGATGGCCTAAGTGCTTTTCTTCCTGCCACCCATGTGGGAGACCCGGATGAAGCTCCTGGCTACTGGCTTCAGCCTGGCTCTGCCCTGGCCATTGCAGCCATTTGGGGAGTGCACCAATGAATGGAAGCTCTCTCTGTCTCTCTGTAACTCTCCCTTTCAATTAAATTAATAAATCTTTGGAGTCGGCACTGTGGCCTAGAGGGTAAAGCCACAGCCTTTAGTGCTGGCATCCCATATGGGCACCACTTCAAGTCCTGGCTGCTCCATTTCCGATCCAGCTCTCCGCTATGGCCTAGAAAAGCAATGGAAGATGGCCCAAGCGCTTGGGCCCTTGTACCTGCATGGGAGACCCGGAGTAAGCTCTTGGCTCCTGGCTTCAGATTGGCTCAGCTGCAGCCATTGTGGCCATTTGGGGAGTGAACCAGCAGATGGAAGACTTCTCTTTGTCTCTCTGCCTCTCTGCCTCTCTGTAATTCTGCCTTTCAAATAAATAAATCTTTTTAAAAAATTAATCTTTTTAAAAAGTTAGATCAAAGAAGATGTATACTTCGTTTTGAATGAAGTCATTATTGCCTTTGAATATCATCATACCCCTATAATATATATATATATTTTTTAATAAAAGCATTTGGCCGGCGCCGCGGCTCACTAGGCTAATCCTCCACCTTGCGGCGCCGGCACATCGGGTTCTAGTCCCGGTCGGGGTGCCGGATTCTGTCCCAGTTGCCCCTCTTCCAGGCCAGCTCTCTGCTGTGGCCTGGGAGTGCAGTGGAGGATGGCCCAAGTACATGGGCCCTGCACCCCATGGGAGACCAGGAGAAGCACCTGGCTCCTGCCATCAGATCAGCGCGGTGCGCTGGCCGCAGCGCACTGGCCGTGGCTGCCATTGGAGGGTGAACCACCGGCAAAGGAAGACCTTTCTCTCTGTCTCTCTCTCACTGTCCACTCTGCCTGTTAAAAAAAAAAAAAAAAGGCATTTATTGAGAGTGACAGAGGGAGAGAAATCTTCCATTTGTTGATTCATTCCCCAAGTGCCTGCAGCAGCCACTGTTGGGCCTGCCTGAAGCCAGGAGCCTAGAACTCCATCTGGGTCCCCTACAGTGAGTGGCAGGAAACCATGTACTTGAACCATCATCTGCTGCATCTCAGGTTATGTATTAGTGGGAAACTGGATTAGAAGCAGAGGTGGGATTTGAACCTAGGCCCTCTTATATGAGATGCAGGCATCCCATGTGGTAGCATAACCTATTATTCCATGATGTCTACCCCTATAAATAGTAATTTTAAGACTTACTATTGGGGCCAGTGCTGTGGCTCAACAGGTGAAAGCCATGGCCTGCGGCACTAGCTCCCATATGGGTGCCAGTTTGAGTCCCAGCTGTTCCACTTCTGATCCAACTCCCTGCTAATGCACCTGGGAAAGCAGTGAAGGCTGTCCCAAGTCCTTGGGCCACTGCACCCACATGGGAGACCTGGAAGAAGCTCCTGGCTTTGGCCCAGCCCTGTTTGTTGCGGCCACTTGCTGAGTGAACCAGTGGATGGAAGATCTTTGTCTCTCCTTCTCTCTCTCTGTAACTCTGCCTCTCAGATAAATAAATAAGTCTTTTTAAAAAATGAAGACTTACTATTAATCGTTAAAAACTATTGTAGGGCCCGGCGCAGTGGTGTAGCAGGTGAGGCTGTTGCCTGCAGTCCCAGCATCCCATATGGGCACCTATTCAAGTCCCAGCTGCTGCACTTCCAATCCAGCTCTCTCTATGGCCTGGGAAAGCAATAGTAAAGGGCCCAAATCCTTGGGCTCCTGTGCCCATGTAGGAAAACCCGGAGGAAGCTCCTGGCTTCAAATCCACACAGCTTTGGCTGTTGCAGCCAATTGAGAAGTGAACCAGCGGATGGAAGGCCTCTCTCTCTCTGTCTCTCCTTCTCTCTCTGTGTAACTCTTTCAAACAAATAAATAAATCTTTAAAAAAAAAAAAAAAAACTATCGTAGCATGGCATGGCACGGCACGCCCTTGGTTTGCTAGGTACATGACAACTTTTTGTTTGTATTGATGGGTACAGCTCCATTCTGAGATCTAGTCCTCATCCTAAAATCCCATCCAGACTAGATTGAAGATCTCTATTTCTTTCTACAAAAATCCATTGTCCACTTTTTTTCCCTGAACAGGGTGTCCTGTTCCCAGACCTGAGCTGATCTGCCATTCGGAGCACAGGCCGGAGCTGTGGACAGTGAAGAAACACCTCTTCCAAAGCACCTGTCTAGGTAGGAGCCAAGATGGGCAGGTATCAATCCTTGCAGGCTTGAGACCAGAAGAGACCATGGGCCCTTTAATCCCAAGTGGTAGCTTAACACACCATTACCATGACGCATACTCCAAAACTGTCAAATCTTTCCAACTCCTCTGAACACATTGGTAATGTAATAAATTAACAGCAGGTTCTATGATCAACTAAAAAGACTTAGAAAACAGTTACATTTTTTACAGTTAAGGGACACAAATTAGAAGAGGTACAAAACGGGACTGAAAGGATTGCCATCAGGAAGCATTGCTATTCAGGAGCTCATTATCTCCCTGGTATCTCTATGTGGCAATGTCGGGAAGGAGGGTTGCCAACCCAGGAAGGTCACTGGAGCTTTGCTGTTCAGTTGTTGAACCTCATACACAACCATTGATTGAATCATTGTTTTTGGGCTCACTTCATCCCCTTTCCAGATGTTCAACTGATGTCATGTCATGTGCTCGAAGGGTTAAAGCTGCACTCCTTGGTCTTCTGTTGTGGCGAGCCATTAGCTGGAGTCATCCCTTTAGAACAAACTATCTATGGACCCAAAGTGAGTTAGCTTTTGTAAATGTTCTGTCTGGAGTTGAGGTACTTGCACTCTAGATCCTCTGATACTTCACCCTGCTTTTTTTACTTGATCTCCCTTTCAAGGAATCAAGAATCCAAGACCAGAAAAGAAGTTGCAGAGCTGGAGATAGAGTAACGTAGATGTGAGCATTTGGTGTTGTGGTTGAGACACTGCTTGGGGTGCCTGCATCCCCTATTTGCAGTGCTTGGGTTTGATCCAGCATATGGGAGACCCAGATTGAATTCTAGATTCCTGGCTTTAGTCTGCCCCAGCCCTGGTTATTGTAGACATTTGCAGAGTAAACCAGTCTACTTGCTTGTCTTTGTGCCTTTCAGATAAATAAATAACATTTTAAAAGAGCATAACAAAACAGACATAGAGGCATTATTTTCAACATAACTTTTTTCACTAAAATCCTGGTTTTATTGTATTTTGTCAGTATGAACAATCCCTTTTGTGTATTGGATTTCTTTTAGATGACAAAAGAGAACGCAAGAACACAGAACCTAATGCACGTGAGCCAGCCCTGTCTGAGGTGGCTTCACTCCAGGGACAACTAAAGCAAGGAGCCTCAGGGGACTCCCAGCTGGTGCAAGCCAAGGATCAGGATGGGGCATCAGCAAGGCAGGAAGGACACTTGAGACTGGGGGTTGACCTCCAGAGCAAGAAGCTTCCTGGGAAAATGATCCCTGAAGATGGTGTTTTAGGGACTGCTGAAGACCTGTGTTCCCGGAATGTACAGGAACAAGCCGCTCCAGGAAGCACTGTCGGTGAGCAGAACTCCCACGGGCCAGGTACATGTCCCATGACTCCGGAAGAAGAAAATAGTTTTAAATGCAGTGAATGTGGGAAGGTGTTTAACAAGAAACGCCTCCTTGCTCAGCATGAGAGGATTCATTCTGGGGTGAAGCCCTACGAATGCACGGAGTGTGGGAAGACCTTCAGCAAGAGCGCATACCTCCTTCAGCATCACATGGTCCACACTGGGGAGAAGCCCTATAAGTGCATGGAGTGTGGCAAGGCCTTCAACCGCAAGTCACACCTCACGCAGCACCAGCGGATTCACAGCGGAGAGCAGCCTTACAAGTGCAATGAATGTGGGAAGGCCTTCACTCACCGCTCCAGTTTCGTCTTACATAACAGAAGCCACACTGGGGAGAAACCCTTTGTGTGCAAAGAATGTGGTAAAGCTTTCCGAGACAGGCCTGGTTTCATCCGCCACTACATCATCCACAGCGGGGAGAATCCCTATGAGTGCTTCGAGTGTGGCAAGGTCTTCAAGCACAGGTCCTACCTCATGTGGCACCAGCAGACTCATACTGGGGAGAAGCCCTATGAGTGCAGTGAGTGTGGGAAAGCTTTCTGTGAGAGTGCGGCCCTGATTCACCACTATGTCATCCACACCGGGGAGAAGCCCTTTGAGTGCCTGGAGTGTGGGAAGGCCTTCAACCACAGGTCGTACCTTAAGAGGCACCAGCGGATTCACACCGGGGAGAAGCCTTACGTGTGCAACGAATGTGGGAAAGCCTTCACCCACTGCTCTACATTCATCTTGCATAAGAGGGCCCACACTGGAGAAAAACCTTTTGAGTGCCAAGAGTGTGGGAAATCCTTTAGCAATAGAGCAGACCTCATTCGACACTTCAGCATCCACACTGGAGAGAAGCCCTATGAATGCGCAGAGTGTGGAAAGGCCTTCAACCGCAAGTCAGGCCTCACAAGGCACCAGCGGACTCACAGCGGAGAGAAGCCCTACGAATGCGTCGAGTGTGGGAAATCCTTTTGCTGGAGTACAAACCTCATTCGCCACTCCATCGTCCACACTGAAGAGATGCCCTATGAGTGCAGTGAATGTGGAAAGGCCTACCGTCGCAGCTCATCCCTTATTCAGCATCAAAGGATGCACACGGGGAGAAACCCTGTCAATGTAGCAGAAGTAGGAAGACCTTTTGCAAATGAGCAAACCTCTGTCAACATCCAAGAATTACTTTTGGGGAATGACTTCTTGAATGTAACTACTAAAGAAAATCTTTTGCAGAAGGAAACATCTTGCGTGCTGTCTGACCATTCTTACCACAGAGAAACCCCACAAGTGTCTTCACTCTGAGAAAATCTATTTGCAGAATACACTGGTCATCTAAACAGTTTTTTGTTTTGTTTTGTTTTTTATCCCCCCCCCTCCCTTTTTTTTTTGACAGGCAGAGTGGACAGTGTGAGAGAGAGACAGAGAGAAAGGTCTTCCTTTGCCGTTGGTTCACCCTCCAATGGCCGCTGTGACCGGCATACTGCGCCTATCCAAAGGCAGAAGCCAGGTGCTTCTCCTGGTCTCCCATGGGGTGCAGGGCCCAAGCACTTGGGCCAGCCTCCACTGCACTCCCTGGCCACAGCAGAGAGCTGGCCTGGAAGAGGGACAACCGGGACAGAATCCAGTGCCCCAACCGGGACTAGAACCTGGTGTGCCAGCGCCGCAAGGCGGAGGATTAGCCTAGTGAGCCGCGGCGCCGGCCTATCTAAACAGTTCTATTAGCAATTGACCCAGTTTATAAGCCTTATTCTCCTAAGAAGTCACAGAGAGACCCACTAGTTATTGTGCAAATAGGAAAACCAAACTTCCTCTTTCTCCTTAAAATTTTTTTTATAAAAAAGAGATCATAATTGGAGAGAAGAGAAAATGAAATGCAAACACTGCTTCACAGTGCTGTGCTGAGTCTGTGACACTAGATCATGGAGTTCCTAGTTTATTGGTGTGGAAGTGGGCCTTGGTGCTCTACGCGTGTCTTGTGTATGCACCCATTGCGGCCTAGGGTCAAGAGAGGTAGAATGTTGTAGGAACATTTGGAAACTTACCAGGTATCTTCCATGTTCCACAACATTGTTTCTCTTCTTGTGGGGCACAATTTTCATGAGAAATATGAAGACTTGAGTTCTAAAGTGCTTCTATATAAGGAGCCAAGGAAACATATGAATGGGCACATTTTATTGTACCACTTAAGACTTTTATCTATTTGATTTTTAGAAAAAAAAGTATGTGGTTTTAAACACAAAACATTCAGAATACTTTCTTGATCCCAATTTGATTGTATATTTTATTGCTGTAGCTATGGTAAATCTTAAAATTGGGTAAAGTGATTACCTTGTTCCTATTTAAAATGGATTTTGCATTCTTAGCTCCTCTGACCTTCCATAAACATTTTAGGTTTTGATTTTCTGTTTTTACAAAGAAATCGTCCTCAGATTTCAATACAAAATATGTTAAATCTATGGATCAGTCTGTTGAGAATCAGCTTTATTGTGTTCAGTCTTCTAGTTCATGAACATAGAAGTATCTAAGTATTCCTTGTTTTATTTCATTATTCTCTTATAACACACAGGGTATAGCTTCTGTACATTTCAAATTAGATTTATAGCTTCATTTTTGCTTTGATTACAAATATATTTATATATAAAGCTTAAATCTTCACATGGTGGGGCACCATTGGGGTATAGTCTGTTAAGCTGCTACTTGTAGCATCAGCATCCCATATTGGATGTGTTAATTTGGGTCTTGGCTGCTCCAGTCCCAATCCAGCATTCTGATAAAGTTACTGGGAAGGCAACAGATGGTGCCCCAAGTGCTTGGTACCCTGTCACTCAAGTGTGAGACCAGGATAGAGTTCCTACATCCTGGCTTTGGCCTGGCCCGGCGCTGGCTGTCATGGGCATTTGAGGAGTAAACCATTAGATGGGAGGTTTCTCTAGTCTTTCCATCTGTGTCACTCTGCCTTTCAAATAAATAAGTATTACAAAATCTTTTACATGGTATTTGATCATATACAGAAATATCACTTTAAAAATTTTTGACATCCTACAACCTTGCTAAATACACATGTAAGTTTCTACTTCTTTCAGAGAATCCTTGGGATTTTATGTGTGGAGATGTGATATGCAAATAGAGGCACTTGTATTTCCTCCTTCCCATCTGTGTACCTTTATTTTTCTTGAGTTACTTCTTTCAGTATGATTTCCACTATGATGCCAAATGGGAATAGTAAGAAATCTTCCATACCTGGTTTGTGATACTTGGCAAAAATGTTCAGTCTCTCATTAGTATGATGTTATAAATTTTCTCATACAGTTTTCATTCAACTTCAGAAGGTTTACCCTAGTATTTTACTGAGTTTCTTTTTAGTGACTTGGATTTTGTCAGAAACTTTTTCTCCATCAGTTGCTGTGATCATGCAGTTACTCAGTTGTCTGTTGTGATATACTGCATTGAGTTTTAGATAGTGAGCCAGCTTTTCATCCTGGGAGTAAGCACCACTTGGTTATGTGGAATAGTTTTTTATTATATTACGTATTGCATTTGTTAGTATTTTCTTCTAATTTCATTAGTGAAATTGCTGTCATTGTCTTATTTTAATGTCCAGGTAATAGTAGCCATCCCACCCACACACTCCTGAATTGGAAGATACTCTCTCTTCAATTATCTGGAAGATAGTTTGTAGAGCTAGTGTTGTTTAATATGTGGTAGCATTCTCCAGTAGACTATTTGGACCTATAGACTCTTTCTTTTGGTTTTTAGATTATGTATTTATTTTATTTAATAAGTTTAGAACTATTCAGAATGTTTCATACTGGAAGAATTATAATTCTTTTCAATGAATTGTAAAATTGTAATTGTAAAAAATATATAATTTCTAATTTGCAGCATTGTTTCAGGCATTCCTTTATTATCCTGCTGATGACATGAGGATGTTTACTTGTAGTCCCGTTTATTCTGATATTGTAAATGCATCCATCCTGTTACCCCATTGTGCCACAAAAGTTGGCCCACAAAATATATCCATTTTCTTGATCTTTATCATTCTTAGACATTTATCAATATCATTTGTTATGTTAAAGAACCAGTGTTTGGCCAGCGCCTTGACTCACTAGGCTAATCCTCTGCCTGCGGCGCCGGCACCCCGGGTTCTAGTCCCGGTTGGGGCACGGGATTCTGTCCTGGTTGCTCCTCTTCCAGTCTAGCTCTCTGCTGTGGCCTGGGAGTGCAGTGGAGGATGGCCCAAGTGTTTGGGCCCCTGCACTGATGTGGGAGACCAGGAGGAAGCTCCTGGCTTCGGATCGGCGTAGCTCTGGCGTTGTGGCCATTTGGGGAGCAAACCAACAAAAGGAAGACCTTTCTCTCTCTCTCTCTCTCTCACTGTAACTCTACCTGTCAAGTAAATAAATAAACGTCTTAAAAAAAAAAAAAAAACAATACATTACATCACTGAATTTTCCTGTTTTCTTAATACACTGATTTCTGCTCTTTATACCCTTATGTTTCATGTACTCGGCTATTAATAATTTCTTGAAGTGGATCTATAGATTATTAATTTGAGGGTGTTTTTCCTTTTTGTAAATGAAAGATCTATTTATTTGAAAGGCAGGTCAGCAGAGAGAGCATGCACATGCTTTCATCTGGTTCACTCCCTGAATGGCTGCAACAGAAGGGTCTGGGCCAGACCAAAGCCAGGTACCAAGAATTCCATCAGGTGTCCCACATGGGTGGCAGGGCCGTCTTCCACTGCCTTCTCCAGGCACACTGGCAGGAGCTGGATTGGAAGCAAAGTAGCCAGGACTTTAACTGGCATTCTGATGTGGGATGCTGGTGTCACAGGCAGCTTAACCCACTGTGCCACAAAGCTGACCCTCCCCCCACTTTTTTCTTTCCTTACACATGGCACATGGATTAAGTCCTATGGATTTCCATTACAGCACTGTTGCCTTCATCCCACAAGGTTTAATGTTTTGATTATAATTTCTTTGTTTCTAAAATTATTGGATTTCTTTTGAGACTACTTCTCTAACTTATGAATTATTTGGAAGTACATTTCATTTCCTGGTATTTGCAAGATTTCCTGCTGTTTCTTATTGATTACTAGTGTGTTTTGCATTTGCTCTCTCACTTTAAATTTGTTGACTTTTTAAAATGTCCCAGCATTTGCTGGTCTGTCTTGTTATATATGGCTGCTTGAAAGAATGTGTGTTCTGGCCGGCGCCGTGGTTCACTAGGCTAATCCTCCGCCTTGCGGCGCCAGCACACTGGGTTCTAGTCCCGGTTGGGGCGACGGATTCTGTCCCGGTTGCCCCTCTTCCAGGCCAGCTCTCTGCTGTGGCCAGGGAGTGCAGTGGAGGCTGGCCCAAGTGCTTGGGCCCCGCACCCCATGGGAGACCAGGATAAGTACCTGGCTCCTGCCATCGGATCAGCGCAATGCGCCGGCCGCGGCGGCCATTGGAGGGTGAACCAACGGAAAAGGAAGACCTTTCTCTCTCTCTCTCTCACTGTCCACTCTGCCTGTCAAAAAAAAAGAATATGTATTCTGTTTTCATTGGGTGACATTTCTTCTTTTTCTTTTTTTTAAGATTTATTTATTTATTTGAAAGTCAGAGTTACACAGAGAGAGGAGGAGAGGCAGAGAGAGAGAGGTCTTCCATCCACTGGTTCACTCCCCAGTTGGCAGCCAAAGCTGCACCAATCCAAAGCCAGGAACCAAGAGCTTCTTCCAGGTCTTCCCACACAGGTGCAGGGCCCAAGGACTTGGGCCATCTTCCATTGCTTTCTCAGGCCACAGCAGAGAGCTGGATTGAAGTGGAGCAGTTGGGCCTTGAACCAGCTTTAGCTGCTATGCCACAGCGCTGGCCCCTGGGTGAAATTTCTGTAAATGCCTCCTTGATCCCATTGATTGATGGTGTACTCAGATATTATATATCTTTGCTGGCTTACTGTCTTGTATTTCTATCACTTGCTCAGAATGGAATGTTGAAGTCCTTAACTATTATTAGAGAGTTACCCTTCCTTTAAGTTATATCTATCTTTGCTTTACTTAATTCAAAGCTGTAATTTTGATACATACACATGTAGACTTGCTCTGTCCTCTTGGTGTATTGATCCTTGTATCATTATGTAGTGCCACCTCCCTCCCCCACTCCTGTTAACGTTACTTGGTCCTGAAGTATACTTTATCTTGGTCCTGAAGTATACTTTATACTCCTGCACTTTCTGATTAATGTTTTCAGGCTTTAACTTTTTTCATTGTTTCAGTTTAAGCGTTACCTTTATGATTGCATTTGAAGTAACTTTTTTTATGATCAGCATGTTCTTGGATCATCCTGTCCATTTTGCATGTCTGTCTTAATTGGTATATTTAGACCTTTTAAGATTAAAATAATTAATTATTGATATGTTAACACATCTACCACTTTATGATTGGGTCGTTTTTTATTCTGTTTATTATTCCTGTCTTTATGTCTTTGTCTTGTGTGTTGCATCAACAACTTTTAGAATTCTATTTGATATTTTTAGTATATCTGTTTATTTTTTAGTGCTAGCTCTAATTATTATAATATACATGTAATCACAGTAAATGATATCTGTAATTTAGCACTTTGATGTTATAGGAACCTTACATCCATCAATTTCCTTTACCTTCCCATTCAATGTAAGTGTCAGAAATATTCTTTTTATACACTGAGCACCATGTTGGCAGATGTAGTTTTGTTTTTGTTTTAGAGATTTATTTATTTGGAAGGCAGAGTTACAAAGAGAGAAGGCAAGAGATCTTCCATCTGCTGGCTCACCACCCCCTCCCCCTCCCGAATGGCTGAACAGCCAGAGCTGAGCCAGGCCGCAGCCAGGAGCTTCATCCAGGTCCCCACGTGGGTGCAAGGGCCCAAGCACTTGGGTCATCTTCCACTACTTTCTCAAGCACATTAGTAGGGAACTGGATCAGAAGTGGAGCAGCTGGGACTTGAACTGGTGCTCATATGGGATGCTAGTGCTGCAGACAGCAGCTCAACCTCAACCTCAACCTGCCATGCCACAGCACCAGCCCATCAGATGTAGTTCTGTTGTTGGTTTTTGTTTTTGTTTTAGACAGGCAGAGTTAGACAGTGTGAGAGAGGCAGAGAGAAAGGTCTTCCTTCCGTTGGTTTACTGCACAAATGGCCGCTGCAACCGTATTGCGCCGTTCAGGAGCCAGGTGCTTCTCCTTGTCTCCCAAGTGGGTGCAGGGCCCAAGCACTTGGGCCATCCTCCACTGCCTTCCTGGGCCACAGCAGAGAGCTGGACTGGAAGAGGAGCAACTGAGACAGAATCCAGCGCCCAGAGCAGGACTAGAACCCGGGGTGCCGGCGCCGCAGGCAGAGGATTAGCCTAGTGAGCCACAGTGCCGGCCTCAGATGTAGTTTTTACTTCAGATATCAGATAAAGGTGACAAATCGTGAGACGCATCTTCCTTTACCCATCCCATTGTTCTGTTCTTCCTTGATAATTCCTTCCTGTTTGGTGAACTTCCTGTAGTCTTCCTTCTGGGTTGGTCTGCTGGTGACAGATTCTCTTTGTTTTCCTTCATCTGAAAATATCTATGTTCCCTTCATCCCTGAAGAATATTTTTGTGGGATATAGGATTTGGGGTTGACAGTTCTAAGCACCAGTCTCTTCCTTTTGTCTTCTGTGGTTGCAGATGAGAAATCTGCCACTATTTGAATCATTGCTCTTGCAGGTTGTAATGTGTCATTTGTTTTTCTATTTCTAAAAACATTTATTAGAAAGGTAGTGTTGCAGAAAGAGAGGAAAGAAAAAGAGATACCTTTCATCCACTGATTCACTGCCCAAATGCTCAAAATGGCAAGGGTTGTACCAGGTTAAAGCTAGGAACTAGGAACTCCATCCAGGTCTCATGTGGCTGGCAGGGACCCAAGTACTTGAGTCATCTGCTGCTTTTACAGGTGCTTTAGGAGGGAGCTGTATTGGAATTGGAGCAGCTGGATTCCACTGGTTTAGTAGTGTTCATAAGGGATGTCGCTCTGGTGTATCAGCCAACTGCACCATAGCGCTGGCCTCTGAATGTGTCCATCCACCAGGTCTCCTCTCCCCTCTCCTTTGTCTTGTAATTTTTTTTAAAGATTTATTTATTTGAAAGAATTACACGGAGAAGGAGAGAGAGAGGTCTTCCATCTGCTGGTTCGCTCCCCAATTGGCCACAGTAGCTGGAGCTGTACTGATCAGAAGCAAGGAGCCAGGAGTGTCTTCCCAGTTTCCCATGTGGGTACATAAAAGAGTTAGAAGGAGAGACAGAGAGAGAGCTTCCATCTGCTGATTCACTCCCTAGATGGTCACAATGGCTAACACAGCCAGTCTGAAGCCAGGAGCTAGAAGCTTCAATTTGGGTCTTTCACATGGATGGTAGAGGTCCAAACACTTGGGCCATCGCTCGCTGTTGCCAGGCCACTAGCCAGGAGCTGGATTGGGTATCAAGCAGCCAGGACACAAACCGGGTGCCCATATGAGATGTTGGTGTCACAGACAGCTGCTTTTCCACTGTGCCATGACACTGGCCCTTGTTTATGTTAAGCTACAATCAAAAGTTTGTGATGTGTCCAACAAGGAATTTTTTACACTGTTTAGTGGTCAGTTTTTTCTTTTAAAAAAATACTAAAAAAGATTTATTGATTTATTTTAATTGAAAGGTAGAGTGACAGGAGGGAGAGAGAACTTCCATGAAGGCAGAAGTCGGAGGCTAGGAATGCCGTCTGAGGCTCCCACATAGGTGGCAGAAGCCCAGGCATTTAGGCCGTCATCTGTCTTTGCATTGCATTAGCAGGAAGCTGGGTCAGAAGCAAAGTAGCAGGGACTTGGATCAGCACTCCAGTGTTTGCAGCATTGCAAGTGGCAGTATCCACTGTGCCACAACATCAGTTGTAGTGTTCAGCTTTTTTTAACTGTAGGTTTTTGCTATTTCCCAAATTTGGGGAATTTTCAGCCATTCAAATTTTTTTCATTCCTTTTTTTTTTTTTTAAGGTTTTATTTATTTGAGAGGTAGAGTTAAAGACAGGGAGTGGGAGAGAGAGAAAGGTCTTCCATCTACTAGTTCACTCCCCAAATGCTACAACGGCCGGAGCTGAGCCAATTTGAAGCCAGAAGCCAGAATCCTCTTCCGGGTCTCCCATGGGGGTACAGGGACCCAAGTGCTTGGGCCATCTTCCACTGCTTTCTCAGGCCATAGCAGAGAGCTGGATCAGAAGAGGAGCAGCTGGGACTAGAACTGACCCATATGGGATGCTGGTGCCACAGGCGGAGAATTAACCTACTCTGCTACAGCACCGGTCCCCCTATTCTTTCTCTTTTCTTGGTAACTTCTGCCACATGAATGGTAGGTCTTTTGTTGCTGTTAGGTTCCTCAAGTTGTCATCTCAGTAATTAATTTTGTTTTATTCTAGTCTAGTTTCTATTGTTCATACTAATTATTTCTATCGAGCTTTTATTTTTTTCATGTACCTTTTTTAAAAGATTGATTTATTTAAAGATATATTCATTTATTTGGAAAGACAGAGTTACAGAGAGAGGTAGAGACAGAGAGGTCTTCCATCCACTGCTTCACTCCCCAGATGGCCGCAATGGCTGGAGCTGCGCCGATCCGAAGCCAGGAGCCAGGAGCCTCTTTCAGGTCTCTCACGTGGGTGCAGGTTCCCAAGGACTTGGGCCATTTTCCACTGCTTTCCCAGGCCATAGCAGAGAGCTGGATCGGAAGAGGAGCAGCCGGGACTAAAACCGGCGCCCATATGGGATGCCGGTGCTTCAGGCCAGGGCTTTAACCCGCTGTGCCACAGCATCAGCCCCACTGCCATTTCTAATCTGTTGAGCTTATCCAATGTGTTCTCATTTTGATTTTTTTAATTTTCTCAATTGCTTTATTCCCATTTTTTCTTTTTTAGATTTTTTTAAATTTTTATTTAAGAGGGAGAGACAGAAAAGTCTTGCATCTGCTGGTTCACTGCCCAAATGACCAAAACTGGAGCTGAGCCATTCTGAAGCCAGGAGCCAGGAGCTTCTTCCAGGTCTCCCACGTGGGTGCAGGGGCCCAAGCACTTCAGCCATCTTCCACTGCTTTCCCAGGCCACAGCAGAGAGTTGGATCAGAAGAGGAGCACCTGGGACTAGAACCAGTGCCTATATGGGATGCCAGCACCAGAGCCGGAGGCTTAGCCTACTATACCATAGCACTATGCACCCCCTCCCCATTTTTTTTTTTTTTTTTTATTCCTCACTTTGCTTAGTTTATAATGCCAAAGGACTCTGAGAAAATCGACAGAAGTCATGGTTCTATGATAGTTTGACATTTAGTTAGAAATTCTAAATTACCTGGAGGAATGAAAGTCCTTCAGTGTTCTATTTTGAGTATCACAAAATATTTCTAGGAACGGAGAGCTGAGTGATCTGTAGATGCTGTAGGGTTATGTTCTGTAGGGAAGAGAAAGTTTTGCATGAGAAATTTCCCAGTTCTCTATACCTCATATCCTCAAAAGAGAAGTAGTCACTCCTCTTCCAGGCTTTGGTGATGGACACATACCCTTCCCTAACATAGATTATCTAGGAGTTCTTTGTTTCACACTCTCAACTATTAAGTCTAACTTTTGCTTATTAACCCCATAACCTATACCATGTTCAAATCTCCAATCTCATTTGCAGCCCACTTCTACAGTGCTTGCCTATCAAGTTCTGCCCATTTCTTTTTGTTCGTCTCATAAATATGCCCTTTGAACCTGTTCTCTACCTGTCTGCTCCACCTCACATTTCTTTCATTCCACAGATAGTACAGAATGGCTTCTGCTACTGTAACCTGACTTAAATCTCAAGTCTCCTTTGATGATCTTCCCCCTCCCCTCCAACTCCCTTTTTGGACCCGTAAGCCGCTAGCTACCTCTGTGTACTCACTGATCATTCTTGTACTCTTTCTCTGTATTCATATACACTGAGCCTGTATCCATGTGGCTGTCATCCGGCAATGGGTATGCAATCGTAACCACCATAAAAGCAAGCATGGTATTATATACATTAGACCACTGTTTTGAATGTTTTACACACATCAACTTTTTTTTTTTTTTTTTACAGGCAGAGTGGACAGTGAGAGAGACAGAAAGGTCTTCCTTTGCCATTGGTTCACCCTCCAATGGCTGCCGCGGCCTGCACGCTGTGACTGGTGCACCGCACTGATCCGAAGGCAGGAGCCAAGTGCTTCTCCTGGTCTCCCATGCAGGTGCAGGGCCCAAGGACTTGGGCCATCCTCCACTGCACTCCCTGGCCATAGCAGAGAGCTGGCCTGGAAGAGGGGCAACCGGGACAGAATCTGGTGCCCCGACCGGGACTAGAACCCGGTATGCCGGCGCCGCTAGGTGGAGGATTAGCCTAGTGAGCCGCGGCGCCGGCCTAACTCTTTTAACCTATATGAAAACTCTATTTGGCAGGTTATATTTATCCTACTTTATAGCTCAGAAAACAAGAACAGAAAGATTAAACGAATCTTTTCAGAAGTGTATGATTATGAAGTTTGGATTTAGAGGCCATGTGGGGCTCCAGAATCCATTGCATCTCAATGAGTGGCGTTGGTTTTCCTGATTACTAATTGTCAGTAAAATTGATCAAACAGTGCTTATTTATGTACAACCTATTCTCATTTGACAGTACCTCTCGGTCACTCTTCAAGTAAGGTAAATCAAACTCAGTTTTTAATGGCTGCATAATTAGTATAACTGAGTAGAAAATGCAGAGAATGCCTAGGTTTGAGGAAATTAAATCAGGTGAGGGTGGTAGTGAGAAGAAAATGACCGATGCATGGATTTGGTGTTCGATGTTGAGTTTGATGCGTGGAAGGGCGTCTCAGTGTGTGTACCTAACTTTGACCTTGTTGCCCATGTTGGACACACTGCAACCTGTTATATAGTAGACCCTCAGTGTATGTGTGATTAGGTGAGTGTACATATACCAGGGTTTTCTCCCATTGCTCACCACAAATGTATATATGGATGGCAGCATACATGACGATGTTGACCTTAAGAGAATGCATATGGACTTTCATGGACACATGTGTAAGATTCTAGAGGTCATAATGGATGCCTCTTAGTTTCCTGACGGCCTCCTCCAGGTTCAATGGTTTTCTAGGACGACTCACAGTACTTAGATTTTTTTCATACCCAATGGCAGCGATCTCTTACAGCCCAAAGATACAAAGCAAACTCAAAAGGCTCACTAGGTGAAGTCCAGAAGAAACAGGGCATCTCTAAGAGTTTTGTCTCAGTGAAGTCACATGAGATAGGCCGATCCAAAGCCAGGAACCAGTAGCTTCCAGGTCTCCCATGTGGGTGCAGGGGCCCAAGAACTTGGGCCATCGTGTGCTTTTCCAGGCTATAGCAGAGAGCGAGATCAGAAGTGGAGCAGCCGGGATTCGAACTGGCGCTCATATGGGATGTCAGCACTGCAGGCTTTGGCCTTACCTGCTACGCTGTGGCGCCAGCCCCAGTAAAGGCCCTTCCCTTTGCTCAACACTGGTGCTTCCGTCTGTGGCCCCTCCTAGCCTGGTTTTCTTTTGGAAACTAACAAATTATCTCTTCAATGGCAATTGTCCCATGACGTTCTTATCTCAATGAACATAAATAATGTTTGGCAATCCAATAATTCAAGACATTAATGGGCTACATTTTAAGAGTTTAGCAAAGCAAGTCAACCCTTGATATGTTACTTCCAAAGCCAGGGTGTCAGTGCACCACGCAAGACAAGGTGGAGAGCCGTGGATGGCACAGCAGTTGGTCCAAGTAGATGAGTAGTAACCAGGCACTTTAGGGACTGCTGTGTTGGTGGGATTTTTAGGAGGGTAGTTAGTCCTCTGAGTCTTTGTCATGGACACTTTTGAAAAGTGTCAGGCACAAGCAATTGCAGGCCGCAGATAGACAATGCATCTTCTGAGTGAGTGTCCGAGGTTGGAGGAAGAACCTGTTTCTGTATGCAGTCTCCCACGCTGCGTACATTTGTTTGCCTAATTATCCTCTGCCTTAAAGCAATTGTAGCCATGCGGTCTCCACTCTTTTCCCAGTTCCTTCCATGTCCCCACTTCCGAGCCAAGTCACCGACATTTGAACTACTCCGTTCTCGCTGTGTCTCACGTTGACCCCCGGAATGACACTTGGGCAGTGCTACCGCCCTTGTCCTCCCTTCTCCCTAAGGCGTCACCGCAGCCACTGACTGCGGTTCACCTTGCGTGTTCTCCGTCACCACCTCCTTCCTGAGACTCCTTGGCATCGTTTTCTGCATCCTTTCGGAAAAGATCCTGAAAAAGAGGCAACGTGGGCAGGGAAGTCACGGACCCAGTGGAAACCCAGGCTCGCCTTTTGCACTCGCCCCGATTCGGGGGGGAGCGTCCCGGTCTCCCGAGGTTTTATTTCCCCGTGAGCTCAGGTTTCTGCTCACTCTAAAAAGGAGACCTGGCGGAAGATTGCTCTCCGAAAGTTTCCTCGCAGCTGGCCGGCTCTGCGAGAAAAGACTGCATTACCCAGGAGGCATTGCCGCGTACGGCCGCGGCGTGCGCCGGTCGGGGACCTCCCGGGACAGGAGCGCTCCCGGCGGCTCACGCGAGCGGAGGCGGGACTTCCGGCTCCCCGGCGGAAACGTCATCTTCCAGTGCCGGGTTGTTCCTGACAGGTTGTGGGCAGCGGAGAGCAGGGCCGAGCGTATTTCCAGCCTCGAGTGAGGAGTGCGTCCACCATGCGCACGTCTGTGTAGCCTGACACTTCCCCTCGTACTAGCAGCGTGTCTGTAGCTGGGACCTCAGCCTCCACACCCGCCTTCTGTGTCCACCTCCGACGCGGTGCCGTGCGCTTTGTGCGCGTTTGGCACGGAGACTGGGTTTCTGAGTGCGACAGCCAACCGAGGTCACTGCACCGAGGGCAGAGAAGGGCTGGGGGTCGTCTGCGCCCCACTGGGTCCTCAGCGTCCCGAGATGGCGGCGGCGTTGATGGACCCGGAGCAGGTGAGTGGATGGGGTTTTGGCTTTGCAGCCTCTCTGCCAGCTCGGAGAGATCCGGGTAGGCTGTAAGCCTCGAAGCCACTCGATGTCTCCCTGTCGTTGTCACTTGTTTATGAACAGCTGTTGTCACTTTATCGCTGTCCCCTGACGCTGTCCGGACTCTGACAGAGCTCAGTCGGAAGGTGAAGGACTGATGATGCCTCCTTGGGGCTCCCATCGCGCGTCATAAATGCAAACGCTGACTGTGGCCTTGAGGCTCTACCGCTGACCTTGTCTCCTTCAGCTTTCCCCATGTTCGTCAGCATCCAGCTGTTGCGGGTTGAGTAGGATGTGTCCTCAAAACTCATGCAACTGTTTAACATCTTTTTTAAAAAGGGTTTATTTTGTGGATTTGAATGGCAGTGTTAGAGAGAGAGCTTCCATCTCCCGGCTCACTCCCCAAATAGCCAAAACAGCTAGGGCTAGGCCAGGCCAAGCCAAGAGCCGGGAGCTTCCTCTGGGTCTCCCCCGTGGGTGCAGGGGCCCAAGCACTAGGGCCATCTTCCACTGCTTTCCCACGCACATCAGCAGGGAGCTGGATCAGAAGTGGAGCAGCTGGGACTTGAACCGGAAGCCACATGGGATGCCTGTGTCTCAGGAGGCAGCTTTACCTGCTACCTGCTGCACCACAATGCCGGCCCCTAAACCAATGCCTTGATCTAATGATTGATTGATTGATTAAGGGTGGAGACTGGAACTAAAGTTGGCATCTCAGAGGTGGGGCCCATGGGTCATTGGGGGTGTGCCCTCAGAGGGTTCAAGGTCTTCCTAGCTGCACTCTCTCTGCTTACCTCAGGACGTGATCCTTTCTCCACACCCATCATTAGCCAGACTCCAGACTGTGGGGCCAACCCGCCCTGTAACCTCAAACTGTGAGCTGAAACAAACGAAACTCCTCTCAGGTGTTTTAGTGAAAATAATGGGAAATGGGCTAATACAGAAAATTGGTATGGGAAAATGGGGTTGCCACTATTAACTACACCTTTAGATTGGGAGGAGCCTTTGGAATTGATTTGCTGGCAAGGGTTGGAAGAATTTGGAGAAGGCTAGGGAAAGCCTAGAGTGTTGTAAGCCGAGTGTGTTGGGCAACTCTGATGGGGCTCAGTCGGTAGAAATGTGAAGGCAGAAAGGCCAGGCTGATGAGGTTTCGGTGGAAATGAGATTCTTATTGGGAATCGGATTAAGGACCAGCCTTGCTGCAGTGTGGCGTGGGGCCTGGCTGTATAGTTTCTCTGTGGGGAGAGTTTGTGGGATGCTGAACTTCGTGGTGGCCTGGCTTGTTTGGCAGAGATTGCCAGAGTGTTCAGTCAGTAGTAGAGATGTTAATGGCCACTCATAGAACGTTTTGCAGTGAGGATCAGGAGCAGAAGGGAGCAGAGTGGTGGTGGTGGTGGTGGGGGTTGACTAGAGAAGGAAGAAAAGGCTGCAGTTCGGTTTGGGACAGGAAACTCCGTGGAGAAACTGCTTCCTGAAGACATTGGTTCAGGTAAAAGGTAGTCATGTGTTAATGGGCAGGACAATGGGATGGAGACTTGAAGGCTTCTACCTCTTTGAGGCTACTTCTGCAGTCACTGCCACATTAGAGGCATAGAAATGCAAATTTGTTTTGGGGATCTTCCTGGGCAGAGTCCTCTCATGAAGCTGTGCCCCCGTTGGTAGCAGATCTCAACACTGTCCATTTGGTGGCTTGTGGGGTGCAGGAGCACTGGCCCTTAGGCATCCTTTTTTTTTTTTTTTTTTTTTAGATTTTTAAAATTTATTTGAAAGAGGGCCGGCGCCATGGCTCACTTGGTTAATCTTCCACCTGTGGCGCTGGCATCCCATATGGGCACCAGGTTCTAGTCCCGGTTACTCCTCTTCCAGTCCAGCTCTCTGCTGTGGCCCAGGAGGGCAGTGGAGGATGGCCCAAGTGCTTGGGTCCCTGCACCCACATGGAAGACTAGGAAGAAGCACCTGGCTCCTGGCTGCGGATCAGCGCAGCGCCGGCCATAGCGGCCATTAGTAATGGGAGTGAACCAACGGGAGGAAGACCTTTCTCTCTGTCTGTCTCTCACTGTCTGTCACTCTGTCAATAAAAAAAAAAAAATTTATTTGAAAGACAGAGTTACAGATGGCCACCACTGGCAGAACTGGGCCGATCTGAAGCCAGGAGCCAGGAGCTTCTTCACTTCTGGTCTCCCACATGGGAGTAGGGGCCTGAGGACTTGGGCTTTCCCAGGCCATAGCAGAGGGCTGGATTGGAAGTGGAACAGCTGGGGCTCAAACTGGTGCCCATATGGGATGGCCACACTGCAGGCGGTGGCTTTACCTGCCTTGCTACAGCACCAGCCCCTAAGTACCTTAAATTTTTGAGCTGGAAGACCGCACTTTCACCACTCTCCTTTGTGATCTGATGCCCCTACCTGGCCACACCTGGATGCCTACCTGCCAATCCTGCTACATAACCATGCCCCTTTGGAAGTGGATAAAAGCCCTGAAACACGGTGGGCCTGGCCCTTTCTTTTTCCCTTTTTGCCCTTTTTCGCCATTAAGGACCTTTGTTGCCCTTGTTGCCCTGCACCTTCGGGCCGCCTGCGCCCTCAGCCTTCGCTTCGCTGCCTGTGATAAGCTGCTAGTAGTAGCTGCTCTTAACCAGCTGCACGTGGCTTCCGACCTGCTCTCTGATCATTGTAGCCCCAACTTAATTTCCAGACTTTCCTTCCTCCCTTAAGGTCCTCACTCTCCAATGCATTTCTCTCACTGAATAAAAAGCTTAAAAACTTACCATGCTGCCTGGTTTATTTGAGGCAGGATTCAGAATTCTCTGAATTCATGGCAAGAACCCACACAGCTTATTACTTTCAGAAATATTAGTAAGCAAATCGGTATCAAACCTACAAACCTGACCATGCAAAGTTCTCTTCCATTTCCCAGCCTTTGTCCGTGCACTTTTTCCTTTGCCTGGGACGCTGCCCTTGTTTCCGCCTACATGTCACCTGTTTGGAGATGCCTTTCCTACTGGTTTAGACTGCAGTGGCCCTTCACACAGGCCCAGGTGTTAAGGGCTGGGTTGGGCCTAAATTGATTTTCCAGACTCTTGTCTTTTACTTAGAGAAGAATTCTAAGTACAGACCCAAACAGCATGCAATGTGATAAACTTTATTTACAAAGTGGGAAAAATACACAGGCTCATTAGGGCTTTATGAGGAAGAGTGAGCCAAAGAAAGGGAATTATCACACCCTGCTCTCTTCATGAGTCCACGAGGAAGAGCTAGAGAACTTCTGTTCTTCCTAGCTTTTTATGAGCTTTAAAAAAATAGAAGTGTTTACATGGTGCCACCCCTACATCTCCAGTAACAGAAAGTACTTCTTGGGGAGAGGTCTTCTGATTGACAGGTAAGTGAATGTGGCAACCCAGTGTGAAGGAGGTACAGTTTCCAGCACATGAACTTAAAATTATCTAAGCTTTCCTACATCACAGGGTCTGGCATTTTTATGTAGGAAGGCCAGAACATTAAAGGACCATGCTGAGTTGATTTTGTCCAGGATATTACAGGAACAAATAATTACAACAGTGTCATAATAGCTGAGGTGTCCTTTATGTGGGCTGGTAGGCAGCTATGATATATCACCTCATTTAATCCTGAAGTCCTTAGAATTTGGTCCTATTATCATCATGCTAACAGAGGTTCAGCTACATGCCCCCGGTCACTACCATTCTTAAAGTATCGGAGACTAGCAATCAGTACGTCTACCATCACAGGCTAGGTAGACCTGTGGGTGTCATCTAAAGTGAAGTTTGCCAGATGAGCAGACCTACTTCCAGCAAGATGTCTTGGGCATGTGGGGTCATGGTATTTCATGCAGGTGGAACTGTGTGCCCAAAAAAGGGTATTTTGGTTGATTGAAGTTCCTATCTACTGACACTTGTCCTGGCTGGGAAGGTGAGCTTGTATGGTCTTACATGTCTCATCCTACTCAGCCAGGTTATACGTATGTCTTGTCAAGGGTCCATGTTATGCTTTTCACAGCTTGCTGTATCCCGTGACTCCTGTTCCCTCTGCCTGAAATAGTCTGGCCTTTGGGATCTGTCCCAGCATGACTGGGTGGGAAGAGGAAGTGGTGGCTCATTATGGATCCTCCTGGGCACTTGCTTCAGGTCCTACCAATTCACAGACATGTGTGAACACCTTAGGTGACTTTTTTATTGGTATTTTTATTTTGTAGTTTATTTTATATAAAATTTTAAATATAATTTTTAATATTTTGCCACATTCACTGCATATATAGACTTTATATGTATTACATTTTTCTTGAAAACAGTAATATCATGAAGTGAGGGATTCATGACAGTGATCATGATGTGACTGTCATATACATGATATGATTTAATGAAGCAATATTTATAACTAAATGCCAAATGATATCTACCCAGTTTTTATACTCTATTTATTAACTTCCACAAATAAGAGAAAGCTGCAATATTTGTCCTTCTGGGCTGACTAGTTCAATCCATTTTGTTGGAAATGTCATGGTTTCATTCTTTTCAATGGCTGAGTAATAATCCATTATGTATATATACCTGATTTTCTTTATCCAGTCATCAGCTGATGGACATCTAGGTTGACTCCATATCTTTGCTCTTGTGAATTGAATTGCCTTAAACATGCGGATGCAGATCTCTCTCTCATATGCTGATTTCACTTCATTTGGGTATAGTAGTCAGCTTTTGATTACTGTAACTAAAATATCTGAGAGATGCTTCTTGGGAAGGAAAAGGTTTATTTTGGCTCATAGTTTGGAGGTCGCAGTTCAGGATCAGGTGACCCCATGAGTCTGGCATCTGATGGAGCTGGCAACAGTAGAACATGTGTATGGGAGAAATCACATGGTGGTCAGGAGACAGAAAGGAAAGTTAGGCCAAACTTGGCCTAAGAAACCAATTCTGTTGCTAAAAATAGCTTACAAGGGCCAGATCCAGTGACCTAAAGGCCTCACGCTGAATCCATCTTTGATAACTGGATCAAGAATCCACCCTGATCCACTCGTTGGTCCATTGACCATTAACCGCAGGACTTGGGGTTAAACTTCTGCATGAGTTTTGAGGAACTATATCCTATTCAAACCATAACAGTGTTGATTTCCAGGGCTATAGCCATTCACTCCAGTCTGTCTGTCTGTCTGACTTTCTTTCTTTCTTCTTACAAGATTTATTTGTTTATTTGAAAGTCAGAGTTACACAGAGAGAGGAGGAGAGGCACAGAGAGAGAGAGAGAGAAAGGTCTTCCATCCTCTGGTTCACTCCCCAATTGGCTGCAACGGCTGGAGCTGCACCGATCTGGAGCCAGGAACCAGAGCTTACTCTGGGTCTCCCACATGGGTGCAGGGACCCAAGGACTTGGACCATCTTCCACTGCTTTCCCAGGCCATAGCAGAGAGCTGGATTGAAAGTGGAGCAGCCGGGTCTTGAACCGGCGTCCATATGGGATGCCGGCACTGCAGGTGGCGGCTTTACCTGCCACGCCACAGCACCGGCCGCATCTCCAGTGTTTCTACAACATTTTTTCCCTTTAATTCTTATGACTATTCTTGATGAAATGGGAAATATTATATTGATTTGGAAATTGAGGCTCAAAGAAAAGAAATGACGAGGTCGGTGCTGTGGCGCAATGGGTTAACGCCCTAGCCTGAGGTACCAGCATCCCATATGGGCGCCAGTTCGAGACCTGGCTGCTCCACTTCCGATGCAGCTCTTGGCTGTGGCCTGGGAAAGCAGTGGAGGATGGCCCAAGTGCTTCGGCTCCTACACCTGTGTGGGAGACCCAGAAGAAGCTCCTGGCTCCTGGCTTCAGGTTGGCACAGCTATGGCCATTGCAGCCATCTGGAGAGTGAACCATCGGATGGAAGACCTCTATCTCTGCCTCTCCTCTCTCTGTGTAACTCTGACTTGCAAATAAATAAATCTTTAAAAAAAAGAAAAGAAATGATGTCCCCCAAGGTCACATAGCAGGCCCATATTGATTTAAGGAGTTTTGATTTTGAAGCTTGAGTTTCTTCCTGTAGAGCTGGGCACTTTCAGTTGCATTACCGTGGCATATAAGGCTGTCAGCATGAGACAGAACACACGGTGATGGCCAGTAAGCTCAGATGCTGTTGGTTGTTTTTGTTATTCTTTCCCGATTCTCTGACATTCCAGATTTACTCTCTGTTCCTCATGGCCCACTCAGTAGTGTTCTAACATTGCCTCAGTTTTCACCAGCTTGTCACTGGAAGCCTCTCCTTCCTCTGTTCTCTCGTGGTGTCTCCAAGCGCGTGTGCCCCTGGCCCTTGAGCACAGCACAGGGCTCAGCCCCTAGAGGTGCCTGATGGTTTGGCACTCCGGTCTCTGCGTCTTTTGCTGTGATTGAGTGATGGCTTCTTATCCTAAGTGTTGCAAGGCAAACATTACTATCCCTGACTTTCCAGGTGTCTGTGACCTTCAAGGATGTGGCCCTGACATTCACCCAGGAGGAGTGGGGACAGTTGGATGTGGCTCAGAGGACTTTGTACCAGGAGGTGATGCTTGAAACCTGTGAGCTTCTGGTCTCCCTTGGTAAGTCCTCTCCAGCATTTGAGGCACCTGAAGTTTCCCTCCTACTCTGGCTGTGGGTCTGGCTGGTCAAGCCCTCCTTGCTCCCCACCCTTTGCACTATTTTCTGGAGTCACCCCTTCCTTCCTGACCTTGGATCTCAGTTAAGGAGGGTTAAGCAAGAAACATAGTTTCTATATGTGTAGGCAGGAGATGGAAATGTTTTGCAGAACCCAAAGTCAGCATTTCTAGCTGGGCCCCTTGAGAGAGGAAGCACAGTTATGCCCTGCTTCGAGGTCTATTGGCTGCTCTTTGTGAATGTGCTCCTACCACTGTCTTGTCAATTTTTTTTTAATTTGTTTGAAAGGCAGAGTTACAGAGGGAGACACAGAGAGAGAGAGCGAGAGAGAGAGAGATTGTCCATCCGCTGGTTCACTCCCTTTAATGGCCGCAATGGCAGGAGCTGGGCCAGCCTGAAGCCAGGAGCCTGGAGCTTCCTCCAGGTCTCACATGGGTGCAGGGGCTCAAGCACTTGGGCCATCCTCTACTGCTTTCCCAGGAGCATCAGCAGGGAGCTAGATGGGAACCAGTGCCCATAAGGGATACTGGCATCACAGTTGGCAGCTCAACCTGCTACACCACAACACCGGCCTCTGCTACTGTCTTCTCAGGAACTTTTTCTATATGATGGCTTGTGGTTGTTGTTTTTTTTTTCCCCCAGAAGGAAGTGGCCACCTGATTCTCAGAGCCCTTTTCCTTTCCCATGTCTACTTCCTGCATGTTTATATTGTTTCTCTCTTCAGGCTCCACTTACTTACCTCTCCTGGTATCCTGTCCTTTATAAGTAAGGAAAACAGCTGGAGCAGTGAGTTCTCTGTAAAGCGTAATCCATTCTGTGTAAAAAACACTTTCCAGGGCTGGCACTGTGTTGTAGTGGCTAATCCTCAGCCTGCGGCACCAGCGTCCCATATGGACACTGGTTCATGTCCCAGTTGCTCCTCTTCTGATCCAGCTCTCTGCTTATGGCTTGTGAAAGCAATGGAAGATGGCCCAAGTGCTTGGGCCCCTGCACCCTCATGCAACACCCGAAAGAAGCTCCTGGCTCTTGGTTTCAGATCAGCTCAGCTCCGGCCACTGCAGCCATTTGGGCAGTGAACCAGCAGATGGAAGACCTCTCTCTCTGTCTCTCCTTCTGTCTGTAACTCTACCTCTCAAATAAATAAATAAATCTTTTAAAAAAATACTTTCCTTATGAGATGCTGTCCCTTACATTTTGGGTTGGTAAGAGACCTTTGTTCCATGACTATTGATATTATTAGGTGACGCTTAATGTTTGTGTCAGTATTTGCATGTGATCAAATCATTTTGTAGGATTTTTCCCCAGTTTTTTCATGTTTTAGTGATTCATGAAATCCTGAAGCCTAGAGTCTCTGAGTCTGCCCCCACCCTCCCCTGGTATTCCCTGAGGATTGAATCCCCTGAGTTAGCTCTCCTTCTCAGCTACCTCAGCAGCCCACACATTAGTGTTTGCTGTTTCCTCCCTAACATGGGCACACTTGAGAGATTAGGGTCTGGTGCCAAAGCCCAATCCCAGTCATACTTCTTTTGGGTCATGTGTTCCGGGGCAAGTTAGTGAACGCTGTGCACCTTCATTTTCATATGGATGAAATGGGAGGTACGGTAGTATCTGTTTCATACAGCTGTTGTGAATGTACACACCAGAGAGCAGCACTTGGTGACATGTGCCTGTGTGCAGGTTAATAACTGTGACTGCTGGTGTCACCAATTCTTACTGAAGTCTTGATTGTCAGCAGTATGCTTGGAATCCCTGTTTTCAGCAACAGTGTTGTGTAGCTTTGTGGTTAAAATGGCCAAATGCCACAGATGACCAGACTCGGGTTTACGTCTTGGCTCAGCCATTCACCATTTCCCAATGACAAATCACTTTATCTGGCTGAACTTTAATTTCTTCATATATAAAATGGTGTTGATCACAGTATATACTTCATGTGGGTGCTGTGAGGAAATACTGAGATAGAATTTTTCATGCAAGGCTGACAGAAATAGCAATATAATACTTTGCTTAGGACCTGAAAAAAGACTTGGATAAATGAAGACATTTGCTTCTTCCTCTTTATTCAGAGTGGCCAGTGTAGGTCACCATTCACATTAGACCACAGGATCAAGGATGTCATTTGCAAGATGAGGGAGGCCTGGGCTTTTCCACTTGCCAAGGAGGCTGTGGTCACCTGGGGAGTGTTTAAAATCTGTTGATGTCCTGGCTAATCTTCAGATGTTTGAATTATTCTATAGTGACAAATAGGCATTCCCAGGGCTCGCCAGTTCACAGACAGTTAAGGCTTTGTGCCTTGGAATACATAGACAGTAACTTTAGGAAATGTGTCTGCACAGTGTTGAGATTCTAGAATGGAGTTCAAAATTATCCCTATGTCCGTTTCTATTCACAGGCTGTCCTTTGTCCCAGCCAGAGCTTATTCACCAGATGGAGCACAACCCAGAGGTATGGATGGCAATGAAAGAGCTCTCCCAGAGCTTCTGTCCTGGTAGGTACCAACAGCTGGCAAAGTGGAGAGAAGGGACCTAACAGAACAAAAGGTGACCGCTTGCTTATGAATGGGTTGGGGGTGGGGGGTTGGAAATCCAACTGAAGTCCGTTCATTCTCACTGCTTTGTAGGTGTCTCATGAAAACCTGTAAGATTTATTTACTTATTTATGTGAAAGGCAAAGCAACAGAGAGAAGAAAAGATATTTTTCATTTGCTGACTCACTCCCCAGATAATCACAATAGCCAGGAACTTCGTGCAGGTCTCCCACTGAGTGGCAGAACTTGACCATCTTCCTGAGGCTTTCTGGGCACATTAGCAGGAACTTGGATTATAAGCAGAGCAGCAGGACTCAAACTGGCTCTCTGATATTGTGGCAGCATCGCAAGCCTCAGGTTAACCTGCTGTACCACTATCCTGGCCCACTGTTTGACTTTTCATCCCATTCCTTTAAAAAATATTATTTTTTAATTTATTTGATCTTCTAGTTCACTCCCATAATGCCTGCAATGGCCAGGGTCCCGAAGATAGGAACTTGGAACTCAATCCAGGTCGCCCATGTGAATTGCAGAGATCCAGCTTACATGAGCTTTCATTGCTGCCTCCCAAGATCTTCATTAGCAGGAAGATGGAATCAGGAATCAAATCCAGGTGTTCCCATATAGGAGTACTACAATTCTGTTTTCTGGTGGGTGGAAGCATTGACTTCTGTTAAAAATATACTCTGGTGTGTTTACAGGCTGGGTTGCGGAGTAAGCCTGTGTTTGGCTTTAATAGAAACTGCCCAACATATAGGCAGAGTGACTGCACCATTTCATTTTCCCAGCATCCGTGTGTGAAAGCTTCCATTACTCCCATTCCTTGTCAGCACTTGGTACTGTGCTCTTTGCTCTGTGAGGCCCTGTGAGGAGCTTTCTTTGCTCTGTAGTACTGCGGCTAGTCCTTGTACGGTCACTGCTTTCATCCTAACAGTGACTGGATGTTCATGATTCACAGTTTACTGAACCCTGATGCAGTGCCTGCCACTGTGCCACGCACTGTCCTGGCATTTTTCTCATTTAATGCTCATGACAACCTATGAGACAGAAACTCAGAGTTCTGCATAGTGTCTCAAATAAGGAAATTAAGACTAGAAACAGCCTCACCTTAGTCTAACCTCAGCTGATTTGGTACAGGCAGGATTTGGACTAAGGTGTTGGGACAACAGAGCTACATTCTTCCTCTTCCTCTTTCCTCCTCTGCCTTTTCCTCCCCCCACTTCTCTCTCTTTTAAAAGTTTTATTTATTTGAAAGGCAAAGTTACAGAAAGATCTTTTATCCACTGGTTCACTCTCCCAAATGGCTGCAACAGCCAGGGCTGGAACTCTATTTGGGTCTCCTACATTGGTACAGGGACACAAGCACTGTGGACATCTTCACTGCATCCCCAGGGAGCTGGGTCAGGGGTGAAGCAGCCAGGACTGGAACTGTCACCCACCTGGGAAGCTGGAGTCCATCGCAGCGGTTTAATCTGCTGCACCACAACACCGGCCCCCGGAGCTGCATTCTTAACCTCCAGCAACAATAGCTCAAGATGCAGCACAGACTTTTCCAGCCTCACTGTGGTGTTTGGCTGCCTTGAACTCTTTCCCTGTTCTCACTGGAGTTGCCTGCTGTTCTTACTCTGCCCTTATTGAGTTTTCTGGGACTAGGGCTGTGATTTTTATGCTTTTAAACCAGAATATTCCTGTGGTTTCTATACTGTTTTTATTGGATGTCAGTTATGCAGATTTTGATTAGTCATAAACCTTAGTTTATGATATTCTCTCATCACTGACTCATGAGTGACCATGATTAACTAATATTAGTTTAATTATTCATTCTCATGCATTTCTCAATGATATCACTCAGCATGAGGACATTACTCATACTATACTCGCTTAGACAGTTTTGGTTGCTGTAACGAAAATACTAAAATTTGAATGGCTTAAACAGCAAATATTTCTCACAGTCTTGGAGGTTCGAAAGTCTAAGATCTAGGTGCTGTAAGATCTGGTGTCTGGGGAGAATTTTTTTTAAGATTTATTTATTGGAAAGGTAGAGTGACAGAGGGGGAGAGGGAGAGAAAGAGATTAATTTTCCATCTGTTAGTTCATTTCCCAAATGGATACAACAGCCAGATCTGAGCTAGGGTGAAATCAGGAGCCAGGAACTTCCATCTGGCTCTCCAGCATGGGTACAGGGGCCCAAGTCCTTGGGCCACCTTCTGCTGCTTTCCCAGGTGCATTAGCAGGAAGCTAGGTGGAAGCAGAGTAGCTGGGACTTGATCTAGCACCCTGATGAGGGATGCTGATGTCACTAACAGCAGCTCAACCTGCTGCACCACAGTGCTAGCCCTTTGTGTCTCTTATAAGAGCGCTAACCATATCATGGGGATGCCACTCTAAGACCTCATTGTTTTACAAGGGCTCCATTGCTAAACGCCATTGTGTCGGGGTTTCTGTTTACAGCATAAGCACTTTAGGGCACAGAGATGCTCAGACCATCACACCCACCTGCCTACCTTTGTGTGCTTCTTCCTTTTCCATGCAGACTTCTTCAGAGATGATCATTGGCTTTGGTTTTTGGGTATAAGTTTTTTTTTTTTTTATTTAAAGTGTTTTCACTTAATATTTTTCAAAAGAACAATGTTTCAAGAGTCCAAGGACTCCTACAAAATAATGCAAGCATAAGTTTCAGGGATTTCAAATCATAGTTGGTACAGAGTCACTGTTTTCATCTTCTTTTTTTTTTTTTAAGGATTTATTTATTTATTTGAAAAGTAGAGTGAGAGAGAGACAGATCTTTAATCTACTGATTTTCTCCCCAGGTGGCCACAATGGCCAAGGCTGGGCCAGCCTGAAGCCAGGAGCCAGGAGCTTCATTTGGGTCTCCCAGGTGGCTGCAGGGGCCCAGGGACTTGGGCCATCTTCCTTTGCTTCCCCTGGCACATTAGCAGAGTGATGGATCAGAAATGGAACAGCCAGGGGCCGGCGCTGTGGCGCAGAGGGTTAGTGCCCTGGCCTGAAGTGCCAGCATCCCATATGGGCACCGGTTCTAGTCCTGGCTGCTCCTCTTCCAATCCAGCTCTCTGCTATGGCCTGGGAAAGCAGTGGAGGATGGCCCAAGTCCTTGGGCCCCTGTACCCACATGGAAGACCCGGAAGAAGCTCCTGGCTCCTGGCTTCAGGTCAGCACAGCTCCAGCTGTTGCGGCCATCTGGGGAGTGAACCATCGGATGGAAGACCTCTCTCTCTGCCTCTCTTCTCTCTGTGTAACTCTGACTTTCAAATAAATAAATAATCTTAAACAGATACATTAAAACTGTCCTCTGGGAACTTAAAAAAAAAAAAAAAAAAAGAATTGGAATCGCCAGGTCACAAACTAGCACCCATATGGGATGCTAGCATCATAGACAGTGGCCTCACCTGCTGTACCATGACACTGGGCCCATCCTCTGGTCCCTGCTGAAATGGTAATTTTATTTATTCTATGATGCTATCACTAATAACCCCTCTGTATGTTGTATTCCCTTCAGGTGAGAACACAAAACCTAAAGCCACAGAGCCCAACCCTTTGTTCCTGCATGAGAAAGTCTCATTCCGGGAACATCTGATAGAGGGAGCCTCAAGGGATTCCCTGTTGGTACACTCCAGGGATCAGGATGGGCCATCTGAAATTCAGGAGGAACACTTGAGACCAGGGATGGACACCCAGAGGGAGTGGCTCCCTGGGAAAAGGAGCCCGGAACATGGTTGTTTAGAGACAGCTGGTGTTTGTTCAAGGATTGTACAAGAGCAAGTCTCTGCAGAAGATGCCATCTGTGATAGTGACTCTAATGGACCAGTTACCGATCCCGTGATTCATGAAGGAAGGAATCTCTACATATGCAAGGAATGTGGGAAAGTGTTTAACAAGAATTGCTTCCTGACACGGCATGAGCGGATGCACAGCGGGGTGAAACCCTACAGATGCCTAGAATGTGGGAAAACCTTTAGTAAGAGCACACATCTTCTTCAGCACCACATCATCCACACCGGGGAGAAGCCCTACAAGTGCATGGTGTGTGGCAAGGCCTTCAACCGCAGTTCACACCTTGTACGGCACCAGCGGATCCACACTGGGGAGAAGCCTTACAAGTGCGGTGAATGTGGAAAGGCCTTCACCCACCGCTCTACTTTTGTCTTGCACAAGAGGAGCCACACTGGAGAAAAACCTTTTGTGTGCAAAGAGTGTGGCAAAGCCTTTCGAGATCGGCCAGGTTTTGTAAGACACTACATTATTCATACTGGAGAAAAACCCTATGAGTGCCTTGAGTGTGGGAAGGCCTTCAACCGCCGGTCATGCCTCACATGGCACCAACAGATTCACACTAGAGTGAAACCCTTTGAGTGCAACGAATGTGGGAAAGCATTTTGTGAAAGTGCAGACCTCATTCAGCACTACATCATCCACACCGGGGAGAAGCCCTACAAGTGCATGGAGTGTGGCAAGGCCTTCAACCGCAAGTCACACCTCAAGCAGCACCAGCGGATCCACACTGGGGAGAAGCCGTATGAGTGCGGTGACTGTGGAAAGGCCTTCACCCACTACTCCACTTTTGTCTTGCACAAGAGGACTCACACAGGAGAAAAACCCTATGAGTGCAAAGAATGTGGGAAAGCTTTCAATGATAGGGGCGACCTCATCCGGCATTTCAGCGTCCACACTGGTGAGAAGCCCTTTGAGTGCACGGAGTGTGGGAAAGCCTTCAACCGCAGGTCGCACCTCACCAGACACCAGAAGATTCACACTGGAGAGAAGCCCTATGAGTGCATTGAGTGTGGGAAAGCTTTTTGCCGGAGTGCAAACCTTATCCGACACTCCATCATCCACACTGGCGAGAAGCCCTATGAGTGTAGTGAGTGCGGGAAGGCCTTCAATCGCAGCTCATCCCTCACTCATCATCAGAGGATTCACACTGGGAGAAACCCTCCCAGCGGAACAGGGGTGGGAAGACCCTTTGCAAGTATGCAAGCTTCAGTCATCCCAGAGCTTGTGTTAAGGAGTGACTTTTTGAATGTCACCACTGAGAAAAAGCTGTGGTCAGAGGAAACATCCTACTCAGCCTCCAGCCATCCATACTGAAGAGAAACTGCATTAGCATTGCGGATATTGGTCATTGAAAGGGTGCTGTTTGAAACTGGCCCAGCCTTGAATTTGTTTCTGCCTCTCAGAATTCATCCATGAGAAGGACCCAGCGGTTATTACTGTTATGTGCTCTTAGGGAAACCTTCGGCCGAAACTGTACTCTTGGTTCACGGTACAGTGTTCTCTCAGGGATTTCTATTTATACTTTTTTTAAAAAATTATTTATTCAGGAGAGAGAGCACTCATATTTGCTGGTTTACTTCCCAGATGCCTGCAGTGGCTGAGCCTGGGACAAGGCCAAAGCCAGAAACCAGGAACTCAATCAAGGTCCCCCATGTGGGTGGCAAGAACCCAACTGCCTGAAGCTGGAGGCAGGTTTTGAACCCAGGCACTCAGATATGGGTTGCGGGCATCTTAACTGCTAGGCTGAATGCCCACCACTCTCAGGGATTTTTAAATGAGGAGGAAGAGACACAGAAAGGAGAAACCAATGAAAGCATAGCTTCATTAGACACTTTGGCAAGCCTATGGTGATTTGGAATCCCTTTTTTTATGGATAGATGAGAATGTTATTTCAGAAACAAACAAAAGGGCCTCATCTTTTTTTCCCCATATATATATATTCACTGCCACCCAGCGTCAGTACAGTTAGACAAATGAGAGTTTGTTTAAAAAAATGTATTGGAAACATTCTTTATTTTGTTTCTACCCTTGAGCAAGAGCGTTAAGTCATTGAGAAGTATAGAAACTCGAGTTGTGAAATACTTTCATATATAAGGAGATAAGAATGTATATATCAGTGGACACATTTCATCACACACCTAAGACTGAATTTTAAAAGTTTCTCCATTTTCTAATAAACAGGCAATTTTTAAATTTATTTGAGACAGATTGATTTCCCATCTGCTGGTTCTTTCCCCAAATGCCTGCCAAGGCTGGGGCAGGGCCATGGCCAAGGCTGGAGCCAACTACTCAAGCAGTCATTGCTGCCTCCAAGCTCTGCATGGGCAGGAAGCTGAAGTCGGGAGCCAGAACTGGACATGGAGCCTAGGCATGCCAATGTTGGATGTGTGTATCCCTGCCAGCATTTTAACTGGCCACCTGGCCCTCTGCATGTGGGATGGGGATGGTCATGTAACTATATACAGTGTGGCCCAGATGAGACCTCATTCTTTTTTTTTTTATTTTTTTGACAGGCAGAGTGGATAGTGAGAGAGAGAGACAGAGAGAAAGGTCTTCCTTTTGCCGTTGGTTCACCCTCCAATGGCCGCCACGGCTGGCGCACCCCACTGATCCGAAGGCAAGAGCCAGGTACTTCTCCCGGTCTCCCATGGGGTGCAGGGCCCAAGGACTTGGGCCATCCTCCACTGCACTCCCTGGCCACAGCAGAGAGCTGGCCTGGAAGAGGGGCAACCGGGACAGAATCTGGCGCCCCGACCGGGACTAGAACCCGGTGTGCCAGCGCCGCAAAGCGGAGGATTAGCCTAGTGAGCCGCGGCGCCAGCCCGAGACCTCATTCTTCCCTCTGGTATTTCTCAACTTCTTAAGTCCTCTGGAAAGAGAAAATCTCTTCTATGATTCTTTAGAATTGAACTTCAACAAATTTCTAGAGATTGAATTACAGCCAAAACAAAATTTAAAAAAAATATATAAATTAAGTGGAAGGATTATGATAGTCACAACAACAGGTGCAGAGAAGGTATCTCACTTCTAATTTTATGAAAGGTGTAAAGGTTCACTGTAAAATGACTGGAATTATATGAAGGGTGACCTGCAAGTGTATATTGCAGATATGTGTACAATTCACAATTGTCATCCTGTACTTAGTCTATTTTTATTGTCAGTACTTTGTTTTTCTGGATATACAATTTGCTTGTTCACTCCCCAAATGCCCATAACAGTCGGGGCTGTGCTGTTATCCAGGGGTTCCATGTGAGTGGCGGGAACCCAGTTACTTGAGTCACCTCCTTCCAGGGTCCACATCATCAGGAAACTAGAGGCAGAAGCTGGGGCCAGGTGTCGAACTCAGGCACCCCGATGTGAAACACAGGTCTCTGGGCTGGAATCTTAACAGACAGTCTCAACACCTGCCGCTTACGTAGTCATAGATTTAATGAGTAGTATCTTTCTTCAGGTATTCTTTTTGAGCTACAAGTGATAATATCACATCACACTAAAAACATTACCATTCAGAAAGAAAAGAGAATTATGTATTGACTCTTCAGAGCCTTTTAGATGGCTGCATGTGTAGTTTGACTTTCCCACTTGAGGCAGTCATTTGTGTTGTACTAATCCATGTTACAATAGTGAAGGCACCTCTTGGTCCATATCATGTCAAGTCTAGGAAGTCTCCACAAAGGTCAGTCCTGCATATGTTCTCTTAAAAGTTGTCTAGTTGTACCTTTTTTGTCTTACTGTGTAAGGCTAGGTTTCATTTCTTTGTTTCTTATGGATGATCACTTGTTCCAGCACTGTTATAATGACCTGCCTCTATTGAATTGCTTTTAGGCCTTAGTCAAAGGTCATTTGGGCCTAATCATGTTGGTTTACTTCTGTGCTATGTATATTATTTTATTGGCAGAGATAAACATCTTCAAATGCCACGTTATTATTGCTCTTTTAAAAATTAAATTTAGCCTTCCATGTCAGTTTTCTTTCCTTTGGCCTTCTTTGTAAACTTTGTCATGTATTTTGAAAACATCTGAAGACCAGTGCCACTGCTCACTAGGCTAATCCTCCGCCTGCGGCGCTGGCACCCCAGGTTCTAGTCCCAGTTGGGGCGCTGGGTTCTGTTCCGGTTGCTCCTCTTCCAGTCCAGCTCTCTGCTGTGGCCCGGGAGTGCAGTGGAGGATGGCCCTGGTGTTTGGGCCCTGCACCTGCATGGGAGACCAGGAGGAAGCACCTGGCTCCTGGCTTTGGATCAGTGCAGCGCGCCGGCTGTATCGACCATTTGGGGAGTGAACCAACAGAAGGAAGACCTTTCTGTATGTCTCTCTGTCTAACACTGCCTGTCAAAAAAAAAAAAAAAAGAGAGAGAGAGAGAGAAAAGAAAACATCTGATGAGATTTTTACAGAAATTGCCTCAAGACTGTACCTTAGATCATTTTAGTGATGACTGATATGTTGCTAAGTTGAGTCTTCCAGTCTTCTGAACATGATGTGCCTCTGTTAATTTAGATCCTCTGACTCTATTTCATTACAGATTTGTAATTTTCAGCTTGTAAATCCTAGGCATTTTTTTCACTTTCATTTAGGCACAAATGTGTCAGGGCTATTATATGTGGCATTGAGGTTTTAGTATTGGTTTGCACATAATTCTATTGTAGAGAAATACAGTTTTTACATTCTGAACTTGTATGACTGCTGAACTTTTTAGGTCTGGCAGTATTTCTTGATAGATTCATGAACAGTAACGTTATTGACCAGTAGTGGATGTCTTGTTTCTTCCTCCTTCATAATCTGTGTCCCTTTTATTGCCTTCTCCTGTCTTTACTGAACTGGCTAGAACTTCAGTATGAAGTGGAGTAAAATGGGAAAGAGAATATACTGGCCTTGTTCTCCTCCCTCCCCCTCTTAAAAATATTTATTTACTAGTTTGAAAGGGTTAGAGAGAGAGAGAGATCTTTCATCAGATGGTTCAGTCCCCATAAGCCAAAACGGGTGGGGCTGGGCCAGGCTGAAGCTGGGAGCCTGGAACTCCACCCAGGTCTCCCTTGTGAGTGACAGGGACCCAGGTAGTTGGGCCATCTACTGCTACTTCCCCAGACATATTGGTAGGGAGTGGGATCAGAAGTGGAGCAGTTGGGATACAAACTGGCCATAACAGTAGCTCTTGGCCTTGTTCTTGATGTTTGGGTGGAAAATGTTCATTGTTGACCACTAAGTATAATAGCTGTGGGGTATTTTTTAAATATAGATGTTCTTTGTGTCATTTAGAAAGTTTTACTTGTAAGTTGCTGTGAATTGTTATGAGTAGGTGCTTGTCAGATGGTTTTTCCTCTCTAATATGACCACATCTTTTTTTTTTAATTAATTTATTTATTTGAAAGGCAGAGGTACTGAGAGGCAGAGGCAGAGGCAGAGAGAGAGAGAGAGAGAGAGAGAGAGAGAGAGAAAGAGAAAGGTCTTCCATCCGCTAATTCACTCCCTAGTTGGCCACAATGGCCGGAGCTGGGCCGATCTGAAGCCAGGAGCCAGGAGCTTCTTCTGGGTCTCCCACGCAGGTGCAGGGGCCCAAGGACTTGAGCCATCTTCTACTGCTTTCTCAGGGCACAGCAGAGAGCTGGATCAGAAGTGGAGCAGCTGGGACTTGAACCGGCTCCCATATTTTTTTTTTCAATGTGAATAAGCCTTACATCCCTGCAGTAATGCCAGCAGGTCACAGAATATGGGAGAAAAAAATATACAGGGAGTCAGTGCTGTGGCATAGTGGGTAAAGCTACCATTTGCAGTGCTGACATCCCAAGTGGGCGTGTCTCTTTCCCTCTCTGCCTCCTTTCTGTAACTCTGACTTTCAAATAAATAAACAAATCTTTAAAAGAAAAAATATATACATATGTATATACCAGTTACTAGTATTTTCTTGGTAAACCTTTCTAAAACCGTGAGTATTCTCTTAGAATGTACTGCTGGAATTGCTCCAGAAATGGAGACTGGGACATTCCCACTGTAGACTGTCCTAGACAGTTCTGAGATTTGGTTTGGATTTCAAAACTGAAGCATTAAGCATCAGGGTGACCACTTGAAGGTGTTTATTACAAACTTGAGGACAGAGGGTGCTGCACACAGTGATGTACCCTTAGGGGTTAAGTGTTTTGTACAACTTACATGCATGTAAAAGATTGTGAAGAAGGGAGACCTGGACTGTTTCCCACAAGCAACTGGGAAAGTTCCGTTCTGCTGTATCCTCAGAGGAGCCCAGGTAGGATGGAGACAGTTGTCTCTGTTTTCTTAAGAGACGGGCTTGTGAGCTAAAGCCCAGAGCGTGAAGCAGTCTTCTCAGAATGAAAAAAAATTATTTACAGGGGCCAGCACTGTGGTGCAGCAGGTTAAAGCCCTGGCCTGCAGTGTCATCATCCCTTATAGGTGCTAGTCCCGGCTGTTCCACTTCAATCCAGCTCTCTGCTATGGCCTGGAAAAGCAGTAGAAGATGGCCCATGGGGCCGGTGCTGTGGTGCAGCAGGTTAAAGCCCTGGCCTGAAGTGCCGGCATCCCTTGTGGGCGCTGGTTCAAGACCCGGCTGCTCCACTTCCAATCCAGCTCTCTGCTGTGGCCTGGGATAGCAGTGGAAGATGGCCCAAGTCCCTGGGCCCCTGCACCCATGTGGGAGACCCAGAAGAAGCTACTGGTTCCTGGCTTTGGATTGGCACACCTCAAGCCGTTGTGGCCAACTGGGGAGTGAACCATCTGATGGAAGACCTCTCTCTGTGTAACTCTGACTTTCAAATAAATAAATCTTTTTTTAAAAAAAGAAGATGGCCCAAATCCTTGGGTTCCTGCACCCGTGTGGGAGACCCAGAAGAAGCAGCTGTGGCTGTTGCAGCCTTTTGTGGAGAGAACCAGCAGATGGAAGACCTGTCTTTCTGGCTCTACATCTCTGTAACTCTGTCTTTCAAATAAATAAAATAAATCTTTTTTTAAAAATTATGAATGGTTTGAAACTAAGATGACTATGACTTAACCTCTGAGTACATGAGAATCACCTGGAAGACTTGTTTAAAAATTCCAGAGTCCATGCTTAAAGATTTTCTTTTTTAAAAACCTTCTCTACCTCCCTCCATTCCTTTCTCTTCCTCCTTGGAGGTCGAGAGCTCCCATCTCCTGATTCCCTGCAATGGACCCTGGGAACTCAATCCAGATCTCCTACATGAGTGAAAGGGACCCAGATGTTGAATTACCACCTACTGCCTCCTAGGACGGGCATTAGCAGGAAGCTGGAATCAGGAGCAGAGCTGTGATTCCAAACCAGGCATTCTGATACGGGATGTGGGTGTCCCAAGCAGTGTCTTAACTATTGTGCCAAGCACTTTTGCCTGGAGATTCTGATTACGATTCTAATTCAGTGATTCTGGATGGAGTTGGAAAAGTAGCCTGTGCCTCATGTCTTGCAGCTGTACTACACACTGTTGTATGTATGAGCCAGTGCACACATTTTGAGAAACCCTGCTTGAGGCTGTGAGCTCTTGGAAAGTTCATCAAGATGCCATAATCAAGAACTGAAATCATTGAACTGGCTTCTGTAAGATCCTTAAGGAAATTGTGAGTTATTAAATGGATGAAAGCACTGCAATTAAATTTGCTGCTTTCCTGCAACTTGATGGATTAATTTGCCAGCTGGGGGAAAAAATCCTTGAGTTGAAGTTGCAGGTCCCAGCCTTCCTGTGTTTTGGGGTTGTTACTTACCTTATGTAGCAAAGGGGAGGGTTTCGTTGGTATCAGCATTTGGCAGGAATAGAAAGACAGGGATCGAGGCCTTGAGTTCTGGTTGAGACAGATACTGACTGCAATCAGAAAAACCAGAGTGAGGGATGTTTACCTCTAGAACACATCACTGTTAACTTTGTCCTGCGTGTTGTGGTATTCACAGAAGCAGGTTACTTCATAATAATAACACAAAAACAGGCTTCTTCAAAAAGAAAATACTTGGGGGGCAGTGGTATGTCAGACAAAGCAGTAAATACAGAGTTGAACTGATAATTTCATAGCCAGGCAAGCCTAATACATGGTGACAAAGGATAGAGTAATGGCCACATTTGTGCAGGGAAGACGAATTTATGCCTGAAAAGCTACTGGCCATGTTCCTTCTCTTTGCATAACCAATGATTACATAGGAGGCACATTTAGGTGGTATTCCAGATTTGTTTGCTTAATCTCACTGACTTGTACATGTATGAGAAAGAAAAACAATTGCAATAAGTAAATACTAATGCACCTACCCCTGCCCCAAACTGAAAAATAAAAAAGGAACAAAATCTTAGCATGTCTTGCTAGAAAGTAAATTCCATCCTGTACTTTAGAGGACATCATTATTTATAACTTTACTCATTTTCTTACTCTACCTCATAGTTTTTTCTTTTGTTTTTAAACATTTTTTTAAAGATTTATTTATTTTAATTGAAAGTCACAGTTACACAGAGGGAGAAGGAGAGAGAGACAGAGGAAGGGAGGAAGAGGTCTTAGATCTACTGGTTCACTCCCCAGATGGCCACAACGGCCAGAGCTGCACTGATCAGGAGCCAGGAGCTTCCTCCGGGTCTCCCACATGGGTGCAGGGGCCCAAGGACTTGGGCCATCTTCTACTGCTTTCCCAGGCCATAGCAGAGAGCTGGATTGGAAGTGAAGCGGCCAGGTCTTGAACTGGCACACGTATGGGATGCTGGCACTGCGGGCGGCGGCCCGTACCCCATAGTTTGATATTTTAACTGTGTACCAGTAATAGTAACTTAGGTTTTTTGGATTTTGAAATCTGCATGAGTAGAATAATGTATTGATGCTGTGTGTGTGTGTGTTGCCTGGATATACAAGGGCATTTAAAAAGTGGGAAGGAATTTAAAAAGCTTATTATGGTGCAAAAATTTTTGAAATCCATGCATAATTTAAAATTATTACACCTTGGCCAGTGCCGCGGCTCACTAGGCTAATCCTCTGCCTGCAGCACTGGCACCCCGGGTTCTAGTCCTGGTCGGGGTGCCAGATTCTGTCCCGGTCGCTCCTCTTTCAGTCCAGCTCTCTGCTGTGGCCTGGGAGTACAGTGAAGGATGGCCCAAGTGCTTGGTCCCTGCACCCGCATGGGAGACCAGGAGAAGCTCCTGGCTCCTGGCTTTGCATTGGCGCAGCATGCTGGCCGTAGCAGCCATTTGGGGGGGGGGGGGAGTGAACCAATGGAAGGAAGACCTTTCTCTCTGTCTTTCACTGTCCACTCTCCCTGTCAAAAAAAATTATTACACCTTGAGTAAAACAGGTAAAAGTCAAGTGCCTAGTCCAAATCCATACTTTTAAAAATAAGGGCAGGTCTCTTCAAAGTTTGCAAAGATAGTATTCTCCAATTTTGATTATCTGCCTCATTCATATAGATGGGTTATTTAGTATTTTGTGACTTGATTTTTAAGCACATCTGAAAATTTTCAACTATCTTCTGTTACTGATCATTATCCAGATTGTATTCTTTGCTTCATTTTAGTTAAAGAGGTTATTTATGATCCAACAGTGTTGGTTTTGTTCCTGTTCAGTGCTAAAAGCAAACATCCTCCAACTGACATCTGCCATTATGTATCTATCAAACCAAATTAATCAGTTATGATGTGTGACCCCCAATGCAGCTTTACCAATGCTTAGCCCATCTTAAAAATCAATTGCTCAGCCGGCGCCGTGGCTCAATAGGCTAATCCTCCACCTTGCGGCGCCGGCACACCGGGTTCTAGTCCCGGTTGGGGCGCCGGATTCTGTCCCGGTTGCCCCTCTTCCAGGCCAGCTCTCTTCTATGGCCAGGGAGTGCAGTGGAGGATGGCCCAGGTGCTTGGGCCCTGTACTCCATGGGAGACCAGGAAAAGCACCTGGATCCTGGCTCCTGCCATCGGATCAGCGCGGTGCGCCGGCTGCAGCGGCGGCCATTGGAGGGTGAACCAACCGCAAAGGAAGACCTTTCTCTCTCTGTCTCTCTCTCTCACTGTCCACTCTGCCTGTCAAAAATTAAAAAAAAAAAAATCAATTGCTCAGCTAGTATTACATTTCCTGATTTGTTTACATATTTATTATTATACTAAAATTGTTGTTTTAAGTAAGTTGAATTGATGTTAATATTCATTTACGAGGTGTAAGGTAGGCTTTTCTGCTGATGTTTTCTTCTATTTTTTAGATACAAATACACATTTTATGTATTTGTGATAATTACAGGGTGTACATTTTGTACATGTATCTTTGACCCACTCACTTTTTTTAATACTGGGGCTAGCGCTGTGGCACAGCAGGTTAACGCCCTGGCCTGAAGTGCCGGCCTCCCACATGGACGCGGTTCTAGTCCTGGCTGCTCCTCTTCCAGTCCAGCTCTCTGTTATGGCCTGGGAAAGTAGAAGATGATGGCCCAAGTCCTTGGGCCCCTGCACCCACGTGGGAAACCTGAAGGAAGCTCCTGGCTCCTGCCTTCAGATGGGCACAGCTCCAGGCGTTGCTATCAACTGGGGAGTGAACCATTAGATGGAAGACCTTTCTCTCTACCTCTCCTTCTCTCTGTAACTCTCTGATTTTTGAATAAATAAATTAGATCTTTTTTTAAAAAAGTATTTATAGTTCTCAAGAAAGTAAAATACAAGATTAAAAATTTTTTTAAAAAAAGATTTATTTATTTATTTGAAAGAGTTACGTAGAGAGAGGAGAGCCAGAGAGAGCGAGAGAGAGAGGTCTTCCATCTGCTGGTTCACTCCCCAATTGGCTGCAACAGCTGAAGCTGTGCCAGTCCAAAGCCGGGAGCCTCCTCCAGGTCTCCCACAAGGGTACAGGGGCCCAAGGACCCACTCACCATTGAATGTCAGTGGAGACAATTTATTTTGTGCTGTTTAAGAAGCTGAAAAAGTAGAGTAGTACAAATGTGTATATTGATGTAAAACTTTTTTTAAGATTTATTTATTTTAAAAGAGTTATAGAGAGGCAGAGAGAGAGAGAGATCTTCCATCCACTGGTTTACTTCCCAGATGTCTGCAACAGCCAGAGTTGTGCCAATCTGAGCCAGGAGCCTCCTCCAGGCCTCCCACACAGGTGCTAGGGGCCCAAGGACTTGGGCCATCTTCCACTGCTTTCTCAGGCTATAGCAGAGAGCTTGATCAGACGTGGAGCAGCCGGGACTCGAACTGGCGCCCATATGGCATGCGGGCACCACAGGCGGTGGCTTCATCTGCTGTGTATTTGTGGACTGGTTTGGTTGATCCATTGGGTGTTAGAATTTTTTCTGACAGCTTTACAAGATCAACCAATAAGGATAACCTTAAAGAGTTTGTAGTGGAACCTTCACCAATCCAGTAAGAATTCAGGACCCTCCTAACACAATGATTACCTCCAGCTCAGGCTTCTGCAACACATTGAAGGCTCCTAGCCGATGAGCTGGTTAATATGATGGACAGACTTGCTAACGGTCACACCATTAAGAACTCTGTTTGAGGTCATCGTGGTTCACATAACTCCTACATATGCTATGACCTTGCTTTGCCTTATAGCCCTGTCTGTGCGCTTTGTCAGGTCTGGTGGGTGTAGGGAGTCCTGTGGAATGCAAGATATGGTAGTACTGCCAACACTGTACCATACAAGAAAATGTTACACTGGTCTGCTGCTTTCTCCATTCCTCCTGGATGCACTGGTATACATTCATTCCTCCTTGATGACTGCTTCAGATGGAATGAGCCAATACTATTTATTGAGCAGTATGTGATGGGTACTTTTAATATAAATTCCTTCATGGGCATGGTAGTATTTCCCAGGCTAGTCCTGGCACAGCGATTGTTCTCAGACTTGGGTGAGCAACACAGTCCTCTGGAGGTTTTGTTACAGCAAGATTGCTAAGATCCACTCTATAAGTTTTTTTGGGGGGTTGAGTAAGGCCAAAGAACCTACATTTCCAGTAAATTATTGTATCATGCAAATGACACTGGTCTGGTTGGAGGGGCCGGCAGTGTGGTGCAGTGGGATAAAGTCCTGGCCTGCAGCACCAGCATCCCATATGGGCACCAGTTAGAGTCCCGGCTGCTCCACTTCCAGTCCAGCTCTCTGCTGATGCACCTGGGAGGGCAGTGGAGGATAGCCCAAGTCCTTGGGCCCCTGCGTGCATGTGGGAGACTTGGAAGACACTCTGGCTCCTGACTTCAGATCGTTGCAGCCATTTGGGGAGTGAACCAGCAGATGGAAGAATTCTCTCTCTCTCTCTCTCTGGTTCTCGCTCTCGCTCTCTCTCTGTGTGTGTGTGTGTGTGTGTGTGTGTAACTCTGTCAAATAAATGAAATAAATCTAAAAAAGAAAAATGAATGCTGGTTGGACTTCCAGCTTCTCCACTTCTGATACAGCTCCCTGCTTATGCACCTGAGAATGCAGAAGATGACCCCAAGTATTTGGGCTCCCATCACCCATCTGAGAGACCCAGGTGGAATTCCAGTTTCCTGAATTTGGCTTGGACCAGCCCAGGCTGTTGGGAACCTTCAGGGAGCGAGCCAGCAGATGATGATCTATCTCTTCCTCTCCCTCTGACACTCCACCTTTCAAATAAAACTTTAAACAAACAATAAAAAAAAGCCCTCAGCATTAAGCTCATTTCTCAGCATGCTTTTTCTCTATTAATAGTTTTCTCTTCCTCAATCTGTATGCCATCCTCAAATTCTTTCCTCCATTGGTGACGATAAACTAGGTCTCCTAGTCCCCAACAGCCTCAAAATGGCCACAAAGGCTAGTACCAGTTCAGGCCCAAGCCAGGAGCCTGAAACTCCATCCAGTTCTCCCAGTGGATGGCAGGGGTCCAAGCACTCGGGCCATCTTCCACTATCTTCTCTGGCATGTTAGGAGGGAGCTGGATCAGAAGCAGAGCAGCTGGGACTTGAACTAACACTGTGATATGGGATGGTGGCAGCCTAACCTGTTGTCCCACAATGCTGGCTTGTATACATAAAAATATATGAGTGAGCTGAAAAGTACGCAAGTTTGCTTTCACGAAAAAATTTTAGCCATTACCTATGATGCTACTTGCTGAATCAGGGAGCGATTGCATCTTGTTTTAAAAAAAATATCAGCAACTGCAGACAGGGGTCTGATTTATCATGGTATAGCACTGTGTGAGAGCCTTTGGTAATGGTGAATGCTAATGACCTACAGACATTTAGCACTGTGTCCCAGGTCCTGTGCTAGGCACTCTCCCTCTAACTTCCCATGAGTTAGGCTGCAATATTTTTCCACTTTATTTTACTGTTTTGGTTTGTTCATGACTTTTCGAGTTCTCAAACTCAAGTTAGGGCCTCACCTCCCAAGGGATGCTATCTCAGAGGGTAAGCTGAGTCGGGGAACTTGAAATTTTTAATATGTAAGTTCGCAGTGATGGTGATGCTGCCAAATCAGGAACCAGATTTGGAATCTACGCCTTGCAAGATTATGTTACTATAAAGTCCTTGCGAGCACGGTATAGGCGTTGTTCAACTCAACTTTGAGTCCCCAGAGGTGAGAGAAGTGAAATGGCCTCCCCGGGCCTCAGACACAGGAGGATTAGGTCATCTGCTGAAAATTCCTGCGGCGTGGCCTCGTCCCGCGTGGCCCTGGAAACCTCGCCCCCTTTAAGAGGAACTTTGGCGTCCGCAAACGTCAAGACGCTCCTCCATCCTAATATTCTCTCCCTGCCTTCGCCCCGCGCCTCTTGGATGTTGTCCCGAAGAATCAAAGCTGTGTCCAGGGCCTCGCTGGTTGCAGCGAACCACCGACAGCACGCAAAGGTCTCCGCTGGGCCCCTCGGCAACAGCACGGGGTCAAAGGACCGCGCAGAAAACGCGCATTTCCGGTGCCCGCCGGGCAGAGGCGGGACTTCCGCCGTCGCCGCGGTGACGTCGTTTGTCTGTGCCTGGTCTGTCCACACCGGCGGCGAAGGCTAGGCCGGGAGAGCCGAGCGGAGACGGCTAGTAGGAAGGCTGGGGTCTTCGCCCGCGACGCGCACTGTGGCACGGGCGTCCTCGCGCGAGGGTCCGCCGGGGCTGCGCTTGCCGCGGCCTCCGCACCTGTCCCCGGCGTGTGTCACCCCGGGAGGCGGCACCCTGGCCTTGTGTGCGTGTTGACGCGGCGGAGACTGAGGCTCGGAGCAGCCCCTCCGTGGACTCATGAGGCTTCGCCCGAGCCTTCCAGGCCCACCCCGCTCGCCCGCTTCCCGCAGATCGGTTCTGCGCGCGGCAGCGGCTGAGGCGATGGACCCGGCTGAGGTGAGTGGAGGGTCCTTCAAGACCTCCGCCACCCGGACACGGCGGGTGGTGAGTCCTGGGGTGCCCCGCCTGCATTGATCTTTCCTCTGGAGTGTAGACCCGCGCCGGCGGGTGAGTGGAGATTCCCATTTCCAGGGCGAGTGCGATGAGGTGTGGAAGGGTTTCCCAGGCACAGGAGTACTTGTACCCATGCCTGGAGATGAGAACGCCTTAGGAGAGCTCAGGGAACAGCCGGTCTCTGTTCTGAACGGTGAGACGGGAAGCAGAGGGCCCGGGCTCGGGCTCGGGCTCGGGCTCGGGCTCGGGCTGGCGGCTTGAGCAGTCGAGGGAGCCGGGTTCGGAAGGTTTGGAAGGTTGGCACCGACGAGGGAGGTGCTCTGACGCAGCTCTTGCCAGGCTTCTGCTGGCCGCAGAGTGAAGAGGTGGAGAGGTCTGGTGGTGGGCTGAGACCCGGATGGAGTCCGCTGCAGTCGACCGAGGGAGTGTTCATGGCCGGTGGACAGTGGGGCCGTGGAAGTTAGGGCAACAGTATGGGCTTTTGTATATGTTCTGTTAGCAGGGCTCACCAGATTTTCTGATGAGCTGTAGTGATATCCTGGGATTCTTTACCTATTCTTTTCTCTGTATATGAGCCTGGGGGTGGGGCTGCAGGGTGGTCATTTATAGCATGATGTCCTCAGTGCAGGCTAGAAATTATGTGAAGTGTTCAGTATGGACAGCCAATCGAAATAGGACTGGTAGGTATAGGGAGCCCAGGGACAGGCATGTGCATGCGCCAGTGCTTGGAGCTAAGAGTGAGTTGGCAGTGCTCAGGGAACCACAGGTCTTAAGTGTATCTATTGAGAACATAGGACTTAGGTCGGATTCAAGCAGGAATGCTGGGCTGAAGAGCTGGGCCTCTGCTTGGAGTGGAGAAAGCCGCGAAAGACTCAGAGTAGAAGGAGGAAATGATCGAGATGTCTCAGATCTTAATAAGCTCCCTCAAGGGGCCAGTGCTGTGGTGTAGCAGGTAAAGCCGCTGCCTGCAGTGCCGGCACCCATTTGGGTGCTGGTTGGAGTCCCGGCTGCTCCATTTCCATCCAGCTCTCTGCTATGGCCTAGGAAAGCAATAGAAGATGGCCCAAGTGCTTGGGCCCCCTCACCCACGTGAGAGACTCAGAAGAGACTCGTGGCTCCTGGCTTCAGATTGGCGCAGCTCCTGCTGTTGCAGCCATTTGGAGAGTGCGTGAACCAGCAGATGGAAGACCTCTCTCTCTCTCTCTCTCTGCCTCTGCCTCTTTGTAACTCTGCCTTTCAAATAAATAGATAATTTTTTTTTTTAAGCTTCCTCTGGCTTTCAGGGAAACAGACAGACTGTGGGCATGAGGTGGGATTGTCGATGGTATCCTGCCCAGGTGTATGACTGTGAAGGTGAAAGAAGTTGGGGAATCTTTTTTAGTAGGTACCTGGGTTTTCTAGGGAAAGAAAAGAAAGAGTCATGGATGACCCCAGGAAGTGGAGAAATTAATGGCATGAGTAATTTTTAGTAGTTCTAACAGGAGTTAGGTTTGGCCATGTTTAGTTTGAGACGTCCCAAGAACTCTTGAGTTGAGGCCTCTGTTTGAACACAAGATTTAAGTCCTGGGGAGGGGTTCTGTTGGAGAAGTACAAAAGAGACAGCCAGTATATGTAGTGGGGTTGGGCAGTAGGGTCTTCAAGTCATGGTGGCAGTGCCATTAGTGAACTGGAAAGGGGAATCTGAGGACCGAGCGCTGGGCCTGTTGTGGAGGCACATGGGTGGCAGTACTGCATGTTACAGAGACAGAGAGCACTTCCTGGAAACTGCAGAGTGACATGGGGGATGCCGTGGGGGTGCGTGTGGTGTAGGCCAGAAGATTGTCAGTGGCGATGGGGAGTCCACATAGAGGCAGATGTGCTCCGCAGAGTGATGTATATATGTACATGTAGGGAGAACGTGAACTGTCAGCCGTCAGGCCTTGGTATTGCTGGCCTACTGGAGAAGGCTGAGCTAAAGTGTGGTCAGATCTGGGAGGCGTGATCTGAACAACACTTAGGAAAACTGGTTGGCAGGAGAGCGTCTGAACCCTTCATACCAGACCCAGAGTTTGGCAGCATCTAACCTGCCTGGTTTCACCTGTGTGAGAAGAGAGAGAGGCACTCGTGGGACCAAGGTCCGGCATCTCTTCTGAGTTAGGCTGGAGACGAGGGATACTGCGGGCCATAGATATGTAAGTGGATAGAGCGGGCGTGAGGGGTGTTCTGGGAAGACGCTGCCTCTGTGCTCAATTGTCCCCTTCGTGCCAGGGCTGTGTGACCTTTGAGGATGTGTTTGTGTACTTCTCCCCGGAGGAGTGGGAACTCCTTGAGGAGACGCAGAGGTTCCTGTACCGTGATGTGATGCTGGAGAACTTTGCACTTGTGGCCACAGTGGGTAAGTCCCTGCTTTTATCTATTGCTACGTGGCAAATTATTCTCACCTCCCCACCCCCAGTTTAGTGTCTTAAAACAACAAGTACATTACTTCTCAGTTCCAGTGCTCCAGGAATCTGGTCACAGCTGATGTGGGTGCTTTAGGCTCAGTGTCTCTTAGGTATGTCAGTCAAGCTGCCAACTGGAGGTGTCTCATTTGAAGGTGCATCTTGGGAACAGTCCATTTACCAGCTCATTCATGTGGGTCTCTGCAAGGATTTAGTTCTTTGTGGCTTGCTGAATATGAGTTAGTTCCTCGCTGGCTGTTGGCCAGAGGCCTCCCTCTTGTCATGTTGGCCTTTCCATAATGTACCTCGTAACACGAAAGCTGACTTCTTTTTGAGCAAGCGAGCAAGAGAGTGCCCACGACCGAATCCAGAATTGTCATCTAATCTCACAAGTGACAGTCCATCATGTTTACCATATTCAGTTCTTTAGAAATGAGTCAGTTGGGGACGGTGCTGTGGTACAGTGGGTTAAGCTGCTGCCTGCAACACCAGCATCCCGTATGGGTGCCAGTTGGAATCCTGGCTGCTCCACTTCCAATCCATCTCCTTGCTAATGCATCTGGGAAAGCAGCAGAAGTTGGCCTTAATACTGGGGCCCCTGCCCCATGTGAGAGACCCAGAAGAAGCTCCTGGCTTTGGCCTGGCCCAGCCCCAGCTGTTCTGGCCATTTGGGGAGTGAACCTGTGGATGGAAGACACCCCCGCCCCCCAACTCCGCCTTTCATGTAAATAAAATAGATATAAAAAAAAGAAAAGAGCCAGTCCAGCTTATAATCAAGGCAAATCACACAAGGGCAAGAGTAACAGAAGGCAGTGATCATTGGGGGCCATCGTGGAGGCTGGCTTCCACAGTCCTACACTCCTACACTTGTGTTCTTGGTAGTCTGATTCTCCCCAAGACATTCATTCTGTGCAGCTAGATGACTGACTCTTCTTGCCCCCAGCTTAGGTTCACAGAGTAGATGGAACGGGTCCAGTCAGGGCCGGGCCATGTGCAGTGGCCCCTTCCTCTCTGAATAGTCTCACCATCTGCTGCCCCAGATTTGGGGGTTGTTCATTGTGCTCGGCAGATTTGTACAGCTTGGGCACTCATTGGTTGTTACTTTCCTGGCACCTCTGTGTCCTAGGTTCTATCCTCCATTCTTCAGCTGATGTTTCCTGAGGCCTTATTAGGTCAGGAATTATAGGTATTGATATTGTCACTGCTAATGGTAGTTACAGGGCTGATCTTGGTTTTTGTTTATTTTTAACATTTTGGTTCTTCTCTGGGGGTGGATCTGCCAGCACCACTTACCTGCCCTTTTCTTTACATCTTTAATCCTCCAAATCCAATATATTTGCCCAAGTGGAGAGACAGGAAGCCGTGGGTATGTATAGGACAGGTGCCACTTTAGCCACCATTAGAGAGACCTGTAAAAGACTCAGAAAGGCTGAACAGGAGCTAGGGGAGGGTGTTATGTTAGGGATGGGTTCAAATTAAATCTTCAGACTATTCTATAGTCACCAGTGTTTTGTTACCAAGGCCTATAGTGATACTTAATTTCTTTTCCTTCACCATTCTTGGCACTTAGCCTACTTGTCACTTCTCTCCTGTCTTCCACCCTTTGGCTGTTCCCTCAATTCTCTGCCTCCATGTCCCACTCATGCTCCTCTGCTCCCCCTGTAATTCTCTACAACACTGGCCTACCTTCATGTGTCATGAGGTGTGTCCATGAAGTAGTCCTTGGGAGACAGCTACTTAGTTGGATTCAGATTTTGCAGGAGCTGGACATACCCTTCTGCACAGAGCTTAATGCAAAGCCTTCCTGAACTCTTTTGCAGATGAGTAAATAAAGAGACCTCGCCTCTTCTCCCTATCCTGTATACCATCATTAGGACCTCACCTGTTGTTAAGGTTCTTCCACTCTGACTTTTCAGGGCCCAGTATCAACAACCTGCCCTTCCTTAGATTGATTCTGGCTCCCTCATCCTTGTAACAAGCCAATGGACTATTTCATTGAAATATCACACACGTGACGGCTACTGCTTCCCATCAAAGTCAACATGCACTTCACCATCATCTCTTTGTTTTCAGATTGTTGGTGTGGAGCAGACAATGAGGAAGCATCTTCTGAGGACAACAGTGTAGAAGGAGTGTCACAGGTAACAACTCCTGAGTCAGGTCCGTTCATCCAGAGAGCCCCACCATGTGAGATGTGTTCCCCACTCTTGAAAGATGTTTCCCATCTGGCTGAACATCAGGAACCACATCCTCTCCACAAATTATACACATATGAACCATATGGGAGAGGATTCTCATTCAGTGCAAAGTTTTACCAGCAGCAGAAGCAAGATAATATGGACACTTCCTTCCAAGGGGATGGTGGAGGGGCCTCATTTGTGAAGGACCATGCAGTTGAGAAGTTAATGAGACCTCTTAGATGTAGTGAGGAAGAGATGGATTTTCCAGATAGCTCTGGCTTCTTCCAAAACAAGATCAATCCATGCAAAAGGACTGAGTGTGTGGAATCATTCCCACATAGCTCCAGTCTCAGGCAACACCAGGGAGACCATCATGGACAGATGCTTCTCAGTTGCAATAATGATGGAAAAGCCTTCCTGAATACCTGTACTGCCTTTGACAACCAGATGACTCATACTGGGGTGAGACCCTTTAGATGCCTCTCATGTGGAAATGTGTTCAAGGAGAAATCAGCTCTCATTAATCATAGAAAAATTCACAGTGGAGAAACATCTCATGTGTGTAAGGAGTGTGGAAAGGCCTTCGTTCACCTGTCTCACCTAAGAATGCACCAGAAACTTCACATTGGAAAAAGACATTACTCATGCAGTGAGTGCGGGAAAGCCTTCAGTCGCAAAGACACGCTTGTGCAGCACCAGAGAGTTCACACTGGGGAAAGATCTTATGACTGCAGTGCTTGTGGAAAAGCCTACAGCCGGAGCTCCCACCTTGTTCAGCACCAGAGAATTCACACTGGAGAAAGACCCTATAAGTGCAGTGAGTGTGGGAAAGCCTTCAGCCGTAAAGACACACTTGTTCAGCACCAGAGATTTCACACTGGAGAAAGGCCTTATGAGTGCAGTGAATGTGGGAAATTCTTTAGCCAAAGCTCCCACCTTATTGAGCACTGGAGAATTCATACTGGGGCAAGGCCTTATGAATGCATTGAATGTGGGAAATTCTTCAGCCATAATTCTAGCCTTATTAAACACCGGCGAGTCCACACAGGAGCAAGGTCTTATGTGTGCAGCAAGTGTGGGAAAGCCTTCAGCTGTAAAGACACGCTTGTTCAGCACCAGATAATTCACACTGGAGCACGGCCTTATGAATGCAGTGAATGTGGCAAGGCCTTCAGCCGTAAAGACACGCTTGTGCAACACCAGAAAATCCACACTGGAGAAAGGCCGTATGAATGTGGTGAATGTGGAAAATTCTTTAGCCATAGCTCCAACCTTATTGTGCACCAGAGAATTCACACTGGAGCAAAGCCTTATGAGTGCAGTGAATGCGGGAAATGCTTTAGCCACAACTCCAGCCTCATTCTACACCAGAGAGTTCACACTGGAGCAAGGCCTTATGTGTGCAATGAATGTGGAAAAGCCTATATAAGTAGCTCCCACCTTGTTCAGCATAAGAAGGTTCACACTGGAGCAAGACCTTATGAGTGCAGTGAATGTGGAAAATTCTTTAGTCGCAACTCCAGCCTCATTCTACACCAGAGGGTCCACACGGGAGAAAAGCCTTATGTGTGCAATGAATGTGGGAAAGCCTACAGCAGGAGCTCCCATCTGGTTCGTCACCAGAAAGTTCATACTGGAGAAAGGCCTCTTGAGTGCAATAGTTTTGGTGACCCTTAAGCTGCATCTGGTAAACTTGTGTAGTGCCAGACAATTCATACTAGAGAAAAAGGTTTATAAATAAAGAAAATGTGTTATATCCTTGCTCAACCTAATAGGGACTCACACCAGAGAAAAGCTCTAAGAGTAACCTTGATGACAGGACCATCATCCAGCAGATGAACCTTGTACATTCATACATCTATCCTGGAGAGATTCCTAATAAGCACCATGTATGTGGGAAGTTCTCCTAAGGTGCATTGGACATCTAAATGTCCAGGGCTCTTGACAGAGTTATACCACTGCCAGTGCCTGTGGTAGAAGCCATCTTATTGCTACCAGCCTTTGTGTCAATCATTCCATTTTGCTCAGGGAAGGCAGATCTCTGTGCTGTTATTCCTTTCAGGGAGTCATGAGTGTTCTGATCCCATTGAAGGTCCTACTTTATCCCTTGTGATTAGGTTCTGAGTGGATGTGATCCAGCTCTGGCTGAAAGGTTCTAGATGAGGTTTCCTTTTTTCTTTTATTTATTTATTTATTTATTTTTTATTTTTTTGACAGGCAGAGTGGACAGTGAGAGAGAGAGACAGAGAGAAAGGTCTTCCTTTTGCCGTTGGTTCACCCTCCAATGGCCGCCGTGGCCAGCACGCTGCGGCCGGCGCACCGCACTGATCGGATGGCAGGAGCCAGGTACTTATCCTGGTCTCCCATGGGGTGCAGGGCCCAAGTACTTGGGCCATCCTCCACTGCACTCCCGGGCCACAGCAGAGAGCTGGCCTGGAAGAGGGGCAACCGGAACAGAATCTGGTGCCCCGACCGGGACTAGAACCCGGTATGCCGGCGCCGCAAGGCGGAGGATTAGCCTAGTGAGCCGCGGCGCCAGCCAAGAGGTTTCCTTTTTTCATGGACAGTGTTGACTGTAAACATGAGAGCTGTGAATTGTTTATCCTGCTGCCAAATAACTCAGTTTTAGAACTCTGTCCCATGCTGCTGCGTAGTGCAGCATTTACTCATGAGGATTTTGTTAACTGTGTGAGGTGAGTTGAGAGAAGAGATGGGTCTGTCAACAGAAGGGAGGAACATACTTTGTGGGCACAACCTTTGCTGTGTCTCAAAGGGGACCACAGTATTGGAGAACAGTTACGTGGCCTGGATGTGAAATTTCCTGTGAGCTCAGTGTTTATTCTAGAGGGCATAGAAGCAGATTTTCCATTGCTTCTAAAAATGATGTGAGTTGGGTCCTTTGACTGTCACATATGTCTCAGCACTGCTAAGGGATTGCTATCTCCCAGGCTTGCATATAAGCCACTTCCTGATATTCAGGATTCTATAGGCAAGTGCTGTTGACTGTAAGGCCTACAGGGCAAGGTGGGAATTATAATTCGTATAGAAACACTTGAGTTAATGGAACAGGGATCACTGTGACATATGAGATATGTGCATTCTAAAAGAGAATTCACAAATGTTCTTACATTATGGCTATGTGAGATGAGAATGTACGGAAATCCTCAAGACCTCCAGACATCAGGAGTGGCCAAGGCCATTGTTAGAGATAATAATCTAAAGTGTGGTGGGCTTCTCTGCTTCCCTGGGCTATTGACCTTGTGGCCATCACTGCCTAGGTAGGCACACAAGCTCTGACAGGAGAGATCCAGGTATGGGGCTTCTCCGACCCTGCCAGCATTCCTGGTGACTAAGTGGACATGGGCTCCATTGTTCTCTGCTTTTTGCCGACTTTGAGGCAGGGCTCATTCTAAATTGTGGGGAGAGAGATATAGTAGAGCCAAAATAAGTTGGAAGATCTGATTCTCCAAGAGGAATGGTAGATAAGGATTTTGATGGGGAATATTTAGTTCTTAATGATTGATTGAGGTATGGTTAACACACAATCAAATGCAAATATATGAAGTATAAAATGTGCTGTCTGTTTTATCGTATGAAGCCACTATAGTCAAGATAATGAAAGTATCCAACACTATAAAAAGATTCCTTGAGTCCCTTAGTAATCTGTACCTCCCAATTCTTTCTAGCCCTCTTTCAATTCACAAACAGCAGCAAGTGTTTTCTAGAATTTTATAAGTAAAATCATACAATATACTTTTTTGTAGGTGAGATTTCTAGCTTTTGCCACTAACCAAAACTGTTTTGAGATTAATCCATCTTGTTGTATGATTCAAGTTTATTCATTTGCATTACTTGGTTTTTCATTGCATACTATAATTTTTCTTGTTGTTTTGCTTTTATGCATTCAGTTAATGGCTATTTGAGTTGTTTCCAGTTTTTGACTGTTAAAATAAGGCTGCTGTGAAGTACCCTATTAAGAATATGTTTTATCTTGTAAGAAAATGCCAGTGACTATACCAATTTGCATTACACCCAGCAATGAATGAGTTTCTGCTGTTCCAGGTTCTTTTCAACATTTGACATTGTTAGTGTTTTTGGATTTATGTGAAGTGTTATGTCGTTGTTGCTTAATTGTAGTTCCCTAATGACACACCATGAACATCTTTTCATATTCTTTCAACAATGTCCAGCAGAGCAGAAGTTTTAAATTTAATCAAGTTTCATGAACCTAATTGTTCTTTCATGGATTATATTTTGGTGTTGTATTTAAAAAGTTATTGCCAAACCCAAGGTCACCTACGTTTTCTCTGACAATATCTTCTAGGAGTTTTTCTAGTTTTGTTTTCTATATTCAGGGCCTATAATCTTGAGTAAATATTTGTGAAGGCTATAAGGTGTGTTTCTAGATTCATTTTTTTAAAACATGAAGTGTCTAGTAGTTCTAGCACTATTTATTGAAATTCCATTGAATTCTCTTCAATCCTTTGAAAAAAATGCATTTGTGTGCATCTATTATAGGGCCCTCTATCCCAAGTCTCTGCATGTATTGAGATATGTAGTATTTTGGTGTTTTTGGTTTTTATATATATGGTGTCTTAATTGATTTTCTAATGTTAAACCAACCTTGCATTCCTGAGACAGATCTCTGGTCATCCTTTATATTTGTTGAAAAATTAATATTAATGATACTTTGTTCACGTATTTTTATCTACACTGATGAAGGATAGTTGGTTTGTAGTTTTCTTGTGATGTCTCTGACTTTGCTATCAGGATAACTTAGACCCCATAGTCTGATTTGGGAAATGTTTCCTCCTTTATTTTCTGGAGGAATTTGTAAATGGTTAATGATTTTTTTTTTTTTTTAATTTTGACAGGCAGAGTTAGACAGTGAGAGAGACAGAGAGAAAGGTCTTCCTTCTGTTGGTTTACCCCACAAATGGCTGCTGTGGTTGGCGAGCTGCGCTGATCCGAAGCCAGGTGCTTCCTCCTGGTCTCCCATGCGGGTTCAGGGGCCCAAGCACTTGGGCCATCCTCCACTGCCTTCCCAGGCCACAGCAGGGAGCTGGACTGGAAGAGGAGCAACCAGGACTAGAACCCAGTGCCCATATGGGATGCTGGTGCTGCAGGTGGAGGATTAACCAAGTGAGCCACGGCGCCAGGCCCTGGTTAGTGATATTTTTTAAATGTTTGATAGAATTTACAAGTAAAGGTATTTGAGCCTGAGATTTTCTTGTGAGAATATGTTTGATGAGAAATTACTTAGAGGTAGGTGTTTGGCACAACTGTGAAGATACCTTTTGGGGGGACAGAGTTCTGCTGTAGGGGATTAAAATGCTGTTGTGACACTGGCATCCTGTATCACAGTGCTGGATTGAGTCTCAGCTGCTCCTGTTCTAATCCAGCTTCTTACTAATGTACTTGGAAGGGCAATGGAAGATGGCCCAAATACTTGAGCCTCTGTCATCTCTGTGGGAGACCAGGATGGAGTTGCTGGCTCCTGGCTGAGCCCTGGTTGTGTCATTTGGAGAGCAAACCAGCACTTGGAATATCAATCACTCAGTCAGTCTCTCCCTTTCAAATAAGTCAACCTTAAAAAAAAAAAACAAACAAAGATGGGAGCCAGCATGGTGTTTTTGGTTTTTATATATATGGTGTCTTAATTGATTTTCTGATGTTAAACCAACCTTGCATTCCTGAGACAGATCTCTGATCATGATGTATAATCCTTTACATTTGTTGAAAAATTAATATTAATGATACTTTATCCACGTATGGTTAAGCCATTGCTTTCAAAGTTGGCATCCCATATTGGAGCACTTGCTTGAGTCCTGGCTACTCTTTCCAATCTGGCTCCCTGCTAATGTGCCTGTGGAAGCAGTGGAGGATGACCCAAGTGTCTGGACCGGCCTTGGCTATTACGGCCATTTGGGGGGTGAACGAGTAGATGGAAGATCAGTCTCTTTTCATTTCAAATAAATAAAAAAAATACACATAAACACATATGTACATCAATAATAATAATAATAATAATAAAAGATGTTTCTGGGGATCCCTCTAACCCATATCAGTGTTCAGAGTGCCTGGGTTTAAGTCCCAACTCTGCTTCCAGTTCCAACTCTGAATTTGCACTCTGGGAGGCAGCAGGTGATGGCTCAAGTACTTGGGTTCCTACCACCCACATGGAGACCCAGATGGGCTTCTGGGATCCTGGCTTCAGCCTGGACCAACCCTGACCAGGAGGGCCATTTGGGGAGTTTCTGTCTCTGCCCCTCTTCTTTTCAGATAAATAAAAAGGAGAAAAAAATAATATTGCTTGGGATACCTGCATCCCACATTGGAGTGTCTGGGTTCAAGTCTCAGCTCTGATTCCTTTTTTTTTTTTTTTTTTTTTAAGGTTTATTTTATTTATTTGAAAGAGTCACAGAGAGAGAGGCAGAGAGACAGAGAGGTCTTCTATCTGCTGGTTCACTCCCCAAATGGCCACAACAGCTGAAGCTATGCCTATCTGAAGCCAGGAGCCATATGGGATGCTGGTACTGCATGTGGCAGCTTTACCCACTATGCCACAGTGCCGGATCCATCTTCAGTTTTGTTTTATTTATTTACTTGAAAGAGTTACACAGAGAAGGAGAGGTAGAGAGAAAGAGGTCTTACATCTGCTGGTTCACTCCCCAGTTGGCCGCAATGGTTGGAACTGTGCCAGTCCGAAGCCAGGAGCCAAGAATTCCTCCAGGTCTCCCACATGGGTGCAGGGGCCCAAGGACTTGGGCTATTCTCCATTGCTTTTCAAGGCCATAGCAGAGAGCTTGATCAGAAGTGGAGCAGCCGGGACAGGAACCAGCACCCATATGGGATGCTGGCACTGCAAGTGGCAGCCTCACCCACTACACCACAGTGCCAGCCCACCCCCCCACCTCAGCTCTGCTTCTAATTCCAGCTTCCCTCTAATTTGCACTCTGGGAGATAGCTTGTAACAGGTCAAGTTCTTGGGTCCATGCCACCCACATGGAAGACCCAGGCTGAGTTCCAGAGTCATAGCTTCAACCTGACCCAACCCAGCTGTTGTAGGCATTTAGGGAGTAAACTAGCAATGAAAGATTTCTCTGTATGTGTTTTTCTGCCTTTCAAATAAAATGAAAATGAGGGCCCAGCGTTGCGGTTTTATGGATAAAGCTTTCACTTGCAATGCCATAAAGGTGTGGTTCATGTCCTAGTCATTGCAATTCTGATCCACCTCCCTGCTAATGGCCTGGGAAAAGCAGTGAAGATGCCCAGTGCTTGGGCCCTGCACCCATGTGGGAGACCTGGGAGAAGCTCCTGGCTCCTGGCTTCAGCCTCTCCCAGCCCCAGTCATTTTGTCCATCTGGGGAGCGAACACACAGATGGAAGATCTCTGTCTTTCCCTCTTTCTATAACTCTTTCAAATAAATAAATAAATTTTTAAAAAAAATGAAAATGAATAAAGTTACTTACTCTAGTTCTATATACTAATTGTTAAGTCACTCTTGATCACTTTGATATGTTCTGAATATACCCCTGCCCAGAATTCCTGAATTGAAACCTTAGCATCAGTGCATCCCCATCAAAAGAGGAGTTGATTAAATCAAGTGAGTGGGTCCTCGTGAGTAGAGTTAGTGCCCTTGAAAAGAGGTTTGAGGGAGCCGTTCACTTGTGCCAGCAGAGGACAGAGAAGGTGCCGTCTAAAGCAGAGAGCAAACCCTTACCAGACACTGAATTCCTGTTGCTTTCATCATGGACTTTCTAGCCAGTAAGACTGAGAAATAAATTTATTTTTATTTTTTAAGATTTATTTATTTATTTGGAAGTCAGAGTTATACAGAGAAAGAAGGAGAGGCAGAGAGAGAGACCGAGGTCTTCCATCTGCTGGTTCACTCCCCCAGTTGTCCGCAGTGGACGGAGCTGCACTGATCTGAAGCCAGGAGCCTCCTCCTGGTTTCCCACATGGATGCAGGGGCCCAAGGACTTGGGCCATCTTCTACAGCTTTCCCAGGCCACAGCAGAGAGCCGGATTGGAAGTGGAGCAGCCGGGACTTGAACTGGTGCCCATATGGGATGTCAGCATTGCAGATGATGGCTTAACCCGTTATGCCACAGTGCCGGCCTCAATATATTTATTTTTCTTTAAAGGTTTATTTATCTATTTATTTGAGAGGCAGAGTTACAACAGAGAGAGAGAGAGAGAGAGGTGCACTCCCCAAATGGCTGCAGCAGCCGGAGCTGGGCCAGGCTGAAGCCAGGGACCAGGAGCTTCTTTCTGATGTCCCACATTGGTGCAGGGGCCTAAGCACTTGGGCCATCCTCCACTGCTTTCCCAGGCCAATTAGCAGGGAGGTGGATGGGAAGTGGAGCAGCCAGGACTCAAACTGGCACCCATAGGTGATGCCAGCACTGCAGGCAGAGTCTTAACCTACTACACCATAGCACCAGCTCCAAATGTATATTTCTTATAAATACCCAGCATAGAGTATATTGTCATAATAGCCCAAGTAGACTAAGAGACAGTATCTTTGTGTATTTCAACTAAATTTTCTGATTTTGGCAGAATGGGGGGGTGCAGATAAATTTTTAATTTATTTGACAGGTAAAGTTACAGACAGACAGAGAGAGAGAGACAAAGAGAAAGGTCTTCCTTCCATTGGTTCACTTCCCAAATGGCTGCCACGGCTGGCACTGTGCCGATCCGAAGCCAGGAGCCAGGTGCTTCCTCATGGTCTCCCACGCAGTTGCAGGGGCAGGGGCCCAAGCACTTGGGCCATCCTCCACTGCCCTTCTGGGCCACAGCAGAGAGCTGGACTGGAAGAGGAACAACCGGGACTAGAACCCGGCACCCATATGGAGTGCCGGCACCGCAGGCGGAGGATTAACCAAGTGAGCCATCACACTGACTCCAGATAAAGAATATTCTTAATGGGGCTGGCACTGTGGCACAGCAGGCTAGCCTGCAGCGTGCATTGTCAACAGCCATATGGGTGTCGGTTTGAATCCTGACTGCTCAACTTCCAATCTCTCCCTGCTAATGTGCCTGGGGAAGCAGAAGAAGATGGCTCAAGTCCGTGGGCCCTTGCACCCATGTGAGAGACCCAAAAGAAGTGCCAGGCTCCTAGCTTTGACCTGGCCCAGCCCTGGCCATTGTGGCCATTTGGGGAGTGAACCAGCAAGTGGGAGATCTTTTTCTGCTTCTCCTCCTCTTTCTGTAACTCTGCCTTTTAAATAAATAAAAGATTTATTTGTTTATTTGAAACTCAGGGTTAGAATCAGGGAGGGACAGAGAGAGCCTCTGTCCTCTGTGTGTTCCCCAGTTGGCCACAATGGCCTGGGCTGGGTCAGGCTGAAGGCAGGAGCCAGGAACTTCATCTGGGAATTTCACATGTGTGTACCTATTCAAATGATGTGTGATTTTTGTTCTTCATTTTATGGATGGGATGAATCATATTTTTGACCTGCATATTTTGAATTATCCTTATATCCCTGGGATAAATCTCACTTGATCATGATGTAGAATCTTTGTGATATGCTGTTGGATCGAGTTTGTTAGTATTTTGTTGGGATTTTCTATATCTGTATTCATCAAGGACAGTGGTCTCTAGTTTCCTTTGTGTGTGTGTCTTTTTCTGGTTTTGGTATTAGCACTGTTAAGTGGCCTTGTAGAATAGTTTGACAAAACTACCTTCCCAGTTTTCGAAAATAGTCTGAAAAGAATTAGAATTTATTCTTCTTTAAAGGTTTTGTAGGCATATACATTTAGCCTAACAATTAAGGTGTCGGTTAAGATGCCTGCATCCCGTATCAGAGAACGTGGGTTACTTAGCCGGCTCCGGCTCCTGCTCCTAACTCCATCTTCCTGCCACAGCAGGCTGAGTGATTCTGTTCCTGCTGCCTACGTGGAAGAGCTGGGTTGAATTCCTGGCTACTAGCTTCAGTCCAGCCAGTCCTGGAGATTCCTCCCCACCCCCCACCGTTGATAAGTGATTTGAATAAGTACGAATTAAAATAAAACTTTTAGCATTCAGTATTGAAGCAGTCAGACCCTGGACTTTTCTTTCATTAGGAGATTTAAAATTGCTTCTTTAATTCTTGTAATTATTGGTCTATTTAAATTTTCTTTTTAAAAATTACTTTTATTTGAAAGAAAGTTACAGAGAGAAAGGGGAGAAAGAGAGGAGAGAGATCTTCTATCCGCTGGTTCACTGTCCAAATGACTGCAATGGCCAGGGCTGGCCAGTTTGGAGCCAGGAGCCAGAACTCCATCCAGGTCTCCCACGTGGTTAGCAGAGACCCAAGCTTGTGGGCCGTCTTCTGCTGCTTTCTCAGTTGGATTGGCAGGCTTCAAAGTGGAACAGGTGCAACTTGAACTGGCACCCGTATGGGATGCCAGCATTGCAGGCAGAGGCTTAGATCACTGTGTCCCCCAATGCCGGCCCCTTAATTTTCTGTTTTTTTTTTTATTTGATCTTGGTAGGCTGTATATGTACATGGATTTAACCATTTTTTCTAGTTTCCCGATTTTTAAAAAGATTTTTAAATTTCTTCATTTATTTGAAAGGCTGAGGAGGGGAGATGGAGCGAGAGAGAGAGAGAAAAATGGAAGGA